GAAATATACTTTTAAAAATCTTTGTCATTTTGTTTTTCCTATGCTATTTGTCAAAATGGTTTACTGGTAAAACTTTCAGTTATTTGTTAGACTTTACGAATTTGTGCGAACACCTAAACTGACAGAACGAGAATGTTTAGCATGATAAGTGTTATTCATTTTAACGGGCTTGGTCTTTAATAAATTTATTACTTTGTTGTTAAATTTTTAAGAAGTGCATTTTAATTATCTTAATAAAAAATTGAGATGATCGCATTTTAATACAAAACATTGTTCAATTGTGTTTTTCCATTGGAAGTAACCTATATAATATCGAAGTAAATATAAAAAGTAAAATTCAAAGAAAAATCGTTTTAAATATTCCAAACGTAAAGTCTAAAGAAGTAAAATCAAGTTTTATTTATCAAGCTTCCAACTGTGCTAGGAATGAGAGAGTATTAACAATATAGTTTTGAAAACGTTCGTTTTGGGATAATTTTTTGATGGCATAAATGTTTCCATTATGGCATTTAAATAAATTGCAAATTATATTGATACCTGCATCAATTTTACTAAGTGGCAATTTTGATGACATAATAGTGCAAAAAAGGAAAGCAGTCATTAACAACTTGCATTTAGCAACTTTTGAATGAAACAAGCTAGCACACACTTTACTTATAAGCTACAGAAATTGCCAATGTGACATTGAGATCTTTTGTTTGAAAGGTTTCAATTTCAGAGATCGCATTCAAAAACATATTTTTGTTGAAGGAAAAATTGTTCCGTCGTTCTTTTGCAACCAACGCTTTCGATGCGAGCAAATCTTTCATCGATGTTTTAATTAGTAGAAACTTTCATTAAATAACAATTGCAAATAAGTTGTAAATATTCTTTATGATAAAAAGTTCTGAAAATTTTTCTTCTTCCATAATATTTTCAATATCTCTAGACGGAAACGAAATTGCTTTTAAAGGAAGTTATTGGTTGAATCTGTTTTTTCAATGGTACATTTGAAGAATATGTTCTTCTTCTCAAAAATCGTCCTTTGCTTTGGAAACACAAAGTAAACATAGAAACTACCAATCATCTAAAGCATGCAGTTTTTTAATAAGACTGAGATGATATAAACAAGAATTGAAATAAATTTGAGAAATTATTTTTATTTCTTGATTCTTAAACACTTGAATGCAAATCCATATTTTGTTGGATTGCATAAGTTGCTTATATTTACTTCTTCATACACGCAATGCTGAAAATTGAGAGTAATTGCATCTTTTCTTATAAAATATTCCAAATAAACGAAAGTTAATGTGCATAAAATTTTCATTAAGTGGCTATGAAATTGAAGTGCTTGTAAATTTCTGCTGAACAAAATTTTCCTATACTATTTTCTAAAATAAATGTCACGAAAGTTAAAAACGACAATTTGATACAGTTTTAGCTAAAAGCAAAATATGAGTTATTTAAAAAATATTCGTGGCCAGAGATTTGCCAGGCGGAAAGCAAATTTTCAATTTTGCGAATTGTTCACCTTAAACAACTTCCCTTCATACATATTTGACAATCATGTTCACCGCTTCCTCAACAATACATTTGAACCCAAAGATATTATTCACACTGCTCCTAAGAAAATCATGCACTTCTGTCTCCCTTTCACTGGCCTACACTGTCTTCAGATTTGCACTCAAATCACTCGACTCTGCAATGCTGCTTTTCCTCATATCAACGTTCGCTTGTTTTTCGTTCTTCCAGGCGTCTCTCCTCTTTCTTTCTTTTAAAGATAGGGTTCCAAAGCTCCTCAGATCTGGTGTTTTATACCCCTTTTATGTGTCGATGCTGCTCTGCATCGTATGTGGGTCAAAGAACGCCTCATTTACACACCAGAATATCAGAACACTTGGAAATCTCTCCCTTAACAGGAAAACCTTCCTTAAGTCCACCATCATCTGCAGTTCTTTCTCATATAAGAAATACATCTCACTCTGCCGATTTTAATGATTTCTCAATTCTCTCTTCTTCCTCCGACAATTATGACCTTATGATTGATGAAAGCCTTCTTATATCTAAACTTAAACACTCTCTTAACACCCAAGGAAACTCAATCCCCCTTCACCTTCTTTAATATACCAACATTCTCACTTAATTCTGTCATCTAAACCTCCTACTCCCCTCACATGTAATTTAACACCCGTAATATATGCTTGTATTTAAAACTCGTGTATATAAATTAACTCAAATTATCTGAAGATGTCTTAAATTAAAGACGAAACGTTATTAATAAATTATTCTCTATTTTATTATTGTGATGGTTTTATTAAAAGTCTTATGTTGGGCTATTATGTTCATAATAAGAAATATTCATTGAATCTTTGTTAGAGGAATATTTAATAAGTATCAAAATGATATATTAAAAACATTTAATTTACCATCATTTGTCAGTCATATCGTATTCTATGACAGCACAAGTGTTCGTCAAGTTTTTTGAGTAAAAATGAAAAGTTTAAAAAGAAAAAACTGAGTGTTAGCCATATTGGCAATTTTTTGCTCATGAGAAGTAAATGGCCTTCAAACTCGTTTCATCAAAGAATATTTATGTTTAGAAAATATATCTAAGCAAATACATATTTTTATACGCTCCATCGCCTTCATAGCTACCATTTTGTTAGGTGTGAATATCTTTTAATTTTTAAAAATAAAATTTTGAAGTCTTTCTGTCATAACAGAAACCTATGCGTCATCAAAATTCATGCGACATTTTCCTACTACGTCATCATAATTACCACGAACTAAAATGGATGCAGATTTTGATCTTTTTAATTTTTTAAAAAAAATGTTTTAAATTTCTTCTATCATAAAGAATTTTTTTTTATGTTTTGCAATTATTGTTCCCTTTTACAAAGCCACTAAAGCAGATATCTTGCAGTTAATCGTTATTTTATTATGTATTATATTGCAACTCTTTCGTAAAATTAGAACTGATGTTTGCTCCATAATTTCAAGCTTACTATGCTTCTAAAAACAATTTTATCATATCTTTGCATGTTTTTTTTATCTACTTAAGGATGTTAAGGAAAAAGTAATTTGAACTTCGTTTACAAATGTTGGAAAATTTTCATATTGACTATTGATCGACTCTTGATTTACACTCTTACTCTCAATTTATAAAGGTTCAATTCTCGATTAAGGCAACATTTACAAAAAATGGAATGAACCAAGGGACTTAATTACTCTTGACACTCAGCACTTACTCTCAATTCTTATCCTCACGTTTAAATTTTCACCGCCACCTTTTACATAAATTTACGCATTTGAAGGCAGCATAATCATATATCAGTTTTCAAACAGGTACATGTCTTTCAGAAATTACCTGTTTGAAAAAATGATACGTGTGACAACGAATGAAACGAAATATCAAGCGCAGCGTCCTTTACAAAAACATTAGCTTGTAAAGAAATGGGAAAATTCACCTAATAATAATATGCAGACTTTACCTTAGCATCACTAAATATAAAATTGTGCATCAGTAGAGATTTTATAAGAAAGTTGTAAAACACATTTGTAAGAACATAGCAATCTTTGACAGGTACATGTCGATTCGTTACGCATATAACCTAAATGAAGCAAACATAACTTTGAAGGACAAAAACGATGAATAGAATAAAAACCTGCTAAATGAAAGTGATTGCAAAAGCTATACATGTTGCCTCAATATAAAAATACTAATGATCGAACAATACTGTAGTTTTTTTAACAATGAAATATCTAGAGGTGGCATTGTTATCCTTTGTACACATAAATTGCTCAGTTTCCGTCGTGTTGAGTTAATTTTGGTATTTTTTTCATACTTTGGTGCTGAGTTATCATTTACTTTTCACTAAATGACATTTTTATGTCTTGTCATCACCAAAATTTTTGTTTTCTTCACGAAAAGAATGAAAAAAAAAACATTTCTTCATTTCCACTCTTACTCATGAGATTTTATATTTTAGCGACTATTTTGTATTTCTTAACACAGCGAGCCTTGTTCTCGTCAACTCTTACTTACTAGCTATAAAACATAAAGCAATCTTCACAAGAAACATCTTCTGACACAGCGCTGATATAATGCCGACAACAAAGGCACCAGCGTAAAAGGGAAGAGGAAGGAGGCGAGTTCAGAATCTCCACCTGGTATTTTTCATACTAAGTTCTATATATGTAACTTGTTATGGAAGTAATATGAAACAATTAATGCTTAATATATGTAAACGACTTCTTACGATTTTTGCCCTCTACAGCAGGAAAAACTCTTATCATTGCCATCGGCCGACCAGATGCCAAAATTTAATTAGTTACTTTATAAAGCTAATACAGTGTTCATTGTTCATAACTTAATTTATGTATTAAATATGTCAGCTTAATACAAAGATTAAATACACCAAAATTAAGCGTGATAAATACTCAATAAGCTTATTAATAAATCAGAAAAGAAGTTTAATAAAGCTGTAATGTCTATGTGTAGCAAGTTGGTTCAATAAGATTAGTAGCATTAGTCAATTTAAATTCATGGTAAGCAATAATGTATCCACTTAAATATTCATTACAACTTTTTGCAAGTTGCTTTATATCATCAATTGACAATATTTTGTCCCAAATATATACAGCATCAATTGTTCTTTTAAAACAGTTACGATTCTGAAATCCTCCATCAAGAGAGCCTTCATCTTGTCCAATCACCCATACTCCACCTGCTAAAAGTGTTCGCTTTTCTGCAACTTTCGTTGAATACTTTTGCTCACCGTCTTTGTAAACTATCATTTGTCCACAGTGGCGTAGCTAGCGAAAACATTTGGTCGGGCTCACGAGGCGCCACCATGGTTGGCGCCAAGCGAGAAAATTTTCCGAATTTAGACTCCCTAGAACGTCGGAAACGGCTATCTTAGAAAGCAAATGCGTGATATTTATGCAGGAAATAGAACCATTTTGGTTATTTTAAATTGCCGAAGGATCTTATAGTAAAGCAGAGAAACAGTTCAAAAATAGTTGCAGATATGTGATTTATTTTCTCAACACCACATACACAAATAGATACCTATGTACATCTTGTAAAGAAACTTTGACAAAAGAACCGAAAAAGGCTCAGATTTGTCATCAACAACTATCAAAAGTTGTGATGAAATTGTCGTGCTGAAATGACAATCATCATTGACTGCATTAAAAAGTTCCCGGAAAAATTCTCACATGCCATGGACGTAAGACATCATCAGCTTGCTATCAGCCATATATGAATACCTATTTGTATAAGAAAGCAAGTCTTCGTGGCTTTTCAATGAACTTCTTTACTACCTCATCATGCAATGTGTTGGCGTCTTCTTTTTCTGACAGTATGTCTTTGTGAATGGAAATCCTGCAAAGGGAACTAAAACGTTCTTGGCTCATAGTATTTCTAAGATAATTTTTTACCCTCTTCAAACAAGAAAATGACCTCTCAACTGAAGCACTTGTAATTGACAAAACCCCATTTATCTTTAACAGTTTTACAACTTCTGGAATACTAGATTGATAATGGAACTGAAAAATATATTTCAATAATTCATCGCATGAATCACAGTGAAAGTCTTTATCTCTGTAAATAAAACAAAGTTGGCTAACTAGCATTGGTATGTCAAACATATCACCATAAACCTCCTTTAGAAGATTCATCTTTTCTGAGGGCACATCACCTTTCCACATCTTAAACACCCTAGGGTTAACAAGGTCAAAAATCTAAAACGCTCCATATCCTGAAATCGCTCAGTCAGCATAGTCACAATTGTGTCAAGAATTTCAAAATACATTTGTTTGTAATTATGCCGTTGGTCATACCTGGTTACTGGTGGTCCCACTTTCTCAACAGCCAGGTTGTACACCTGACAATATTCTGTATTATTTCTCAGAGAAGCAACAAAGGCCTTGAATCTCTCAAACCTACTCATTCCATAATGAAAGTCAGTGTCCTTGTCTTGCAAGATAGAATAAAGTATGGATAACTGCTCAAGACTTCTCTGGAAAACATGTACCAAGAAACAAAACAAGAAGCCATTAAGGTAGCCAAGTAAACCAGTAACCTTACTTAACGTTTCATCATCCCAACCTACTGGATTATCAGTAAGATTTTCAAATATGTCTATCAGTTTCTCATAGTTAGAATGCAAGACATTGTTGACATGAGCCTTATAATACCATCTTGTGTCACCAGGACTAGGAAAATGAAGCCTATGGGATGATAGTAAAGCTTTTCTTTGGGGAATTGCTAGTAAAGGTGCAGAAAGCACTAATATTAACAAAGAAAATCTTAACAGGTGAGAAGGAGGATGCAGCTTGACATAATACTAGATTTAGTCTATGGGCAGCACAATGAACAAATTGAGCATAAGGATAATCCTGCTGAACTTGAGCTTGAACACCATTGAGATGACCAGACATAACAGATGCACCACCATAAGTCTGTCCAATAAATTTCTCTTTCACATTATTATATTGACTTAACTTACCCTTAACCACTGATGATATAGCAGTTGCAGTCCTATCACAACTACCATCAACAAACCCAAGCTGTCTTTCAATGACACTTTCCCCTTTGTCCATTCGAACAATTACACTCAATTGTTCTTTGGTAGAAACATCAGTTGCCTCATCAACCTGTATAGTTAAGAAAGTGCAGCAATATTTTTCCTTTAAAATCTCATCCTCTATTATCTTATCAAGACAATCAATCAAATCATTCTGAATATCAGGAGAGACTCCAGTAAACTGCCCTCCCCCAGCAAGGTGGGTTTCAGCAAGCCTTCCATGTAATCGCCTTTCAAAAACAGAATCCATCTTGGAAAAACTTTCAAGTAGCTCTCTATAATTTCCTCTATTCATGCTGCTACTAGTAGATTCATCATGCCCCTAAATGCAGGCTCTTGCCTAGACAAGTATAAAACAGCTTCTGTTATGTTTTTCAACATTTCCCTGTTTTGCCTTACCTCCTCGTTATGACGCTGAATCTCTTCACGTCTAGCTCGTGACATGAGACAGTCGACACGAGGCTGAAAACCGTAGGTCTTCCAGGTCTTGTAAGCACCCATGTGCGATTTTGCCTTCTCATGCTTCTTACAATCGGATAGGAAATTCTTCATGTTTTTGAATCCCGTCTGCGTCCATGAAGATGACGATCCAGGGCAAAATAAAAGACAAGGCCAACAGAACAATGCATTCTTTTCTGAGCTACCACAAAGCCAATCTTCGAGTACTAACTTTCCTGAAAGCTTCTATTGCCTGTAGTCGCTTGTAAATTTGGAATTGGCCGCTGCTTTACGAGTATATTTTGCTCGCCTGATTGTCGAACAGAAAATGGTTTCTTTTGTAGTTCACTTATTATATCGATTTCATTAGCCGAAGCCATTGTAATTTAAGTTATCACGATTTCCGAACGTATATTTCGAAAGCTCAAACTTCAAGTCACGCTTTTGAAATTGAGCCCGACAAGATGTTGTTAAACGTTTGAGTGTGTTCACAGCTACTCTCAACCAATCAGATTACAGATATTCCCACTATAGATTTTATTACTTGGTCGGGCTGAATTTTCAGAGCCCGACTAGATGTTGCAAAACAGCGCATTTGAGTTTGCTCAGTTGCTCTCAACCAATCAGATTGCAGATAATCCCACTATAGATTTTACTACTTGGTCGGGCTGAATTTTCAGAGCCCGACTAAACTGCGTAATTCCTGGCACTAGAAATGCACTAGTCATTGTTGCTAAGTAACGTTTAAAAATATGATAATTTTGCTAATAACGACGCAATTTGACAAATATTACACTGATAGACTGTGGATTATTCCAAAAAGAGTCGCAGAATTTAAAATTTTCGCAAATCCAATTTTAAAGAAAACAAATTTTTCATTTTTGGGAAAATATTTGGTCGGGCTGGGCCCGACCAGCCAGACCGCTAGCTACGCCACTGTTTGTCCATCAATCTTTTGCCACGTGATCATAATATGATATTGTTTGCCTTCAAATATATCACCAATATGACCACTTCTGTTGAGTTTTTAAAAGGTGTTTGAAAGAATAAAAAGATCGCACATGACTCATGAAGCATTCAAAAAGTCTGTTTTTCTGCATCTTAAAGACTTCGTTTAAAATTCTAACTACATATAATGGTGAAATGTAACACATATATACCTGAAAGAATAAAAAAAATAATGGATACATTTTTTATGAATAAAATCACGGAAGCGTTTTCAAGGACTTTTTCTTTAAATGCATGAGATACTACAGCTGGATGTTTAGTCTCATAATAAACATCGTCATATGTTGTAATCCAAACTGATATTGAAAAAGCATTGAATTGTGTGGAGGAATGAATATATTTTTCATGTTGACTTGTATTGTTGCCATTATACTTGCTTGCTCTTCGTGGATCTACATAAAATAACTCCTTAAATCAAAACTGTAATCAAATTTCATAATAAATTCAAAAATAAATCACACACTTACGTAGAAAGCAGGATAGCAAATGATTATTTGTACATATTACATGTTTCCCTACTTAACTACTTCCAAAGTTAAGTTTTCAGTAGTCTTCTATATTGAAAAATTGATGGACGAAGAAGGAAAAATCTTGTTCCATCAATTTTAAAATGTACCGAACTAGCTGAATGAGCACCGTTTTAAAGTACTTATACATTAATGTTATTTTAAGTAAAGGAAAAAAAAGCAAATGATAGCAGGCTCATGTAAATAGACGGCTAAAAAACGTGCAAATATGTTTTGCAATGAGATAGTTTTAATAATTTGGAATACTCCTGTTACCGTCAATATCGTAAAGACCTAAAATTTTTCTTTATTTAAAGAATAGAAACATTTTTATCTTTTTGCGAAGTAAATTTAATTGGTGTTGGCGATTACTCAAAAAAATTATGCACAGTTTTAGCTATGTTGTTTATGATACAATATTTCAGAATCCAGACGTTTAAAACAAGACAGACGTTCCCAAAAGTTCCCCTTTATTACAACTATGCAGTCCTCCTTGCTCCAATTGTCCTTTATTATAATTGTCCAATTAACAAATTGTTATACCTTAACGGATTCATTTATCAGGCAGCAAAACCTACACACATTAAGTCATCTATATTAAGTAAAAATACGGCTGCTTTATTGCAGTTTTTATTTGAAGGGAGTGCAAATAAAATATTCTAAAGATACTTACCATAAAATTCAGACTGATGAAACTACAGCCAGATGAAACTACAGCCAGAACAGTTATGGCATAAACTGTCGGTAGATCAGAGAACACTTCATAATTTTATTCAATATATTCACAAAAGTTGGCCAAGTTAATATTACTCTTGTGTGAATTACTATCCTCACTTTTCTTAACGAATTCTCTCTGATTTTCACTAATTATATCAATCTTAATAGCCTTTCTAATTACACAATATGAGCAAAGTATAATTTCATCACTCTCTGCGTTTCAGATTTTGTTCTCAAAAACTATTAGATTTTCATTAGTTATCAGCTGACTTTCGCCATTTTTACAAGATATTTCGCACACAATATCAAGGAAGCACAGATTTTTTTAAAAGATATTAAATTGTTTGAAAAATATCAAGTAAAAATGTCTTAAGCGCCACAATGCATACGCAACATGAGCTTTTTTGCCATAGCAACAGCAACTCCATTTTCATATCTATTGTGATCACCACCATCACTTCAGTCATTAATATTGACATTGAATGGTGCAACGTGCCAATAATACACGATGAGATCGATTACAATCCAAAAGTGTTAAATTATTTTTTTTTAGTTTGGAAAATACTTATATGAGCCACCTAGTACTGGTGTTTAGTTTATATCACACAAATAGAGCTCACATTCATTGCTAATTTTACTTAGAAAATATTCTATTGAATATGTTATTGAATCTATCATATTCCTGTGTCATAGAAATTTGTATAGGACCTGTGAATTCTTCAATATACGGCAATGGAGTATCCTAAAGAATAATTAATACTATGGAATATTGTATAGATTTTAGAATAGTCTATTGCATGTTTAAGCTTCTATTGAATATTTTGGTAAGCGAATGTTTTTTTCTGCATGTAACATTTGAAAGCATAGATTTTTTACATAGATTGTGTTTTTCAATGTCACTCTAATTTGTTTAAATAATTTTTGAAGAAATGCCCGCATAGCCAATCAGCTTTGCAAAATGCCGAAAACGGCCACATTTGTTACTGCCTGTTGTTTTATGGCTATAAATTAGTCGAAGAAATTTATGTCTTTTTGGAAGTATTTTTTGCAATTCATTTCGTGTTCTTTTTTTACGGCTTCTTTAAAAACACTGAAATTTTTTGTTTCGGTAATGTTTATAACATACGTAGAAAGACTGGGAACAACGTTGTTGAATTTAGCCTCAATTTTCCTGGTAAAGGTAGTCTTTCAAATATTTCTAGGTTGCGACAAGTAAAGTTTACTACTCTATTGCTGCTAATTACAAATATAGACCTTCTTTGGCAAAGTGGAAATTTCTTTTCCATTATCTATTTTGCTGTCTGTTATACTGGTGAACAAACTGCTCATAACAGTTCATTTGAAATATGTGCTAGATAAGCATGGTAAAGTGAGCTACACGCACAATTGAAAATAGACATGTTTGGACTTCTCATGATGCTATCTTTAGTATTAGTAAGCCCTCTTGCATAAACTACTTATTGCTAAGAGACTTCTTGTAAATGAGTGTAATTAGAGAACAAAAAAGGAACAACGGGTATCAATTTTGTGGTTTTCATGAGATATTTTATTAAATTCAATCTTAAAAAAGATGATCTACACCGTTCACTTGAAAGAATTCATAAAAGGTACGAAAATAACTTTAAAAATGTTTTCTTACAGGGGTTTGTCTTAATGAGTTTTCATCTAAACTCGTAACTCTATAGCCTACAAAATTTGATATGATTTGATATAAAATAAGTTGTAGTCCAACTGTTTCAAGCACTACATGCTAAAAATTTCAGCTAAAAATTTCAAGACACACAGCCGACAATTTATTTTTCAAATTATAGGTGAATGCTGCAATTCATCGTGGGATTTTTTCATCATTTTCAGAAACTAATCTACAAGATAAAGAAATAATGTCGTATGAAGATTTGAATTTCATGCCATTTTAAAAACAAGGAGAATTTGCAAAATTATCAAAAAACGAATGAGAAATGCAAACTTGGAAATGCAAAATTATCACAAAACGGAAAAAATAATGCTGAACTTAGAAATGCGAAAAAAATTAATGAAGAAAATTTCTTTGCAAAGCTTTTGAACGAACATTAAGAGGTCTTTTTTTCCATGGTCAGAAATGTTAGGTAAATTTCCTAACGTATTTAATAAGCATGCTCCGCTCCAACAGAAAGCAGATTGACTATGACTCATTAAATAACTATAATAACTAATAGCATTATTGAAAAAGGAGCCGAACTGAAACGAAAAGCAGTGCTGAATTATCCAATGAGTTCATTAGGCACTTGCCTGTGGATGTTAAAATTCCTTGGGCTTCTGATGATTTTTCATGCTCAAAAGTTTTTGGTTCAACGAGATTTGATTAAAAAAAATAATGATAGCTATACAAAAAAAACAAAACCTGTTTTCTGAATTTATTCCTCATCTATTTTTGTGAGGTAAAACCTTTACGCCAGCCAATATTGGATAATATTACTTTATAATAGAAAAGTTATTTGTTTCACATCACTTATACGCTTCAGTTGATTGTTGCCTAACTCTGCATATGTTGCTCTTTTCAGTCATATAATAAGATAATTACATTTTCAACAACAATGATATGGGAGGGTGGCCATCACTCATTAGTTTGCAGATGAACAAGCAGGCTTAATGATGCCCAGACGAAAGATAATTAGAAATAAATCAGCAATACACGTATACAAACCATAAATCACCCAAAAAACAGATCAATATTGATTTACGAAATGCTAAATTGTAAATAATTAATAAATCTCAAGGCAATCAGATCAAAAAAGGCTGCTGACATTTTCAAACAGTTGATATACATGCTATTATTTAGATTTATAAATACACCTTCATTTATAACTGTAAATACACCCTTGACTTCTACAAACAACTTTTTAGACACTATCTTTAATTAATAAGTGTGTATGTATATTTATTCGCGAAGACTTAACTACAAATTGTATCACAAAAATGAGCGACATTTAATTTATATATTTTGTGGAGTAAATATTTTACAATTACATCAGAAAATCGAAAAAATTATGGTTTTATTTTCATTTCAGTGGATTTTAGAGAGTACTTCATTCCTTTCCAACTTCTCCAAACCACACCTTTATACCCCTCATGAAAGCCATGATAATAGTAGCCGTTAAGATTGGAATCATAACAACAATTATACCACCAAGCTCCTTTATATTTGATAGCACAATTTCCTTCACAACTATCATGGTCTGCATCTTTTGTCGTAAACTTCATGTAGTTATGCTTGGGTGTTAATGAATTTTTAGCATTTCCTAAATAACAATAATAGTCCTCAATGTAACTGCACCAGTAAAAAGTATGTTTACAGTCTTTGTATTATGACTTGTGCTATAAATAAGAAGTGGAAATAACTTCCAACAGGTATAGAAATATATTAATGAAGAAGCTACTGGAAAAGGTGCTGTACAATAGATAAAAGTTTAAAACAAACAAGTAAAAGTAACTGCATCGTTCAAAACTAGTCATGTAGTTATGCTTCAGTGTTAATGCATTCCCAGCATTTCCTAAATATCAATAATAGTTCTTAGCGCAAATGCACCAGTAAAAGTATGCTTACAATTTTTGAATTATGACTTGTGTTATAGATGAGAAATCAAAATAACTGCCAACAGGATTAGAAATATATTAATGAGGAAGCTACTAGAGAAGGTGCTCTACAATAGATATAAGTTTTGACAGAAACAAGTAAACAAAATTGCATCGTTCAACACTAGTCCATGTACAAGTTGCCTTAATTGTAGCTATGCATTGGTATGCTATTACTATTGAGTTGCGCGTCTTATTGCCAGTAACAAGTATAGAAAAGCAGTTTGTTATTGATTGAAATATAGATCACTTGAAATATATCATAAAGTTTAACCTTTCCTTTTCTGAATCTTGGCTAAAAGAAAATGAATTCGCCGAGAATCTTTGTTGGTTTGTCTGCTAAGATAACATTCAGTGGCAATTAATGTGATGTTTACATGCAAATATTTTGATGAAAAAAGTTTTGCTAAAGTTGACAGAAAGATCATTAAATTTTATCATGATCAGCGGCAGTTATAGGATAATTCCCGTTAAAGAATGAAAAACTGCAACACAAATCAATGAAACTGAATAATTTTAAAATAATGCCTCTTTTTTGCTATGACATTGTGATTTAAATGCATGTAAAGATTTACTAGTGGATGCAGCGGTTGCCTCCCCCCAAGCAACAGATTAAACTACCCTAAATATATTGTTCACTTAAGAAAAATTTTAACTTCACCCAATCAAATATTTTAAGCAGAAAGATCGGTTGTACAGTCGAACAAAGTTGTCCAGGTTAAATTTTCAACATTTGCACATTGTTTAATTGCTGCACTACCAGACCGTCCAAAATTCTAGACCCTTACTTTGTCATACGTCACCTCATTACAAGTTCATCCTACTGAAAGTTTAAACCTCGTATGTCTTTTAAAATCCGTCTAACTTCAAATGCATTAGGTGCATGTGTTTCTCAAGTTATCGTATTTCCTGAAATATAATAGTAATCCTTACCATAGATGCACCAGCTAAAAGTTTATCAGACAAAATTTAATGTTCACTGTCTAAAACGTATTTCTTTTCGTAAGGTCGAAATTATTGGACGCAGATTTACAGCCGTGAAAAAAACAAAAAATAAAAAAGTAATTTTGAGAGCAACGCATGACATCTTCCCTATAATGATATTAGCTTACAATTGGATTTAAACATAAAATTTATTACTTATAATGAATGAATTACTTCATGAAGGATAAGATAGTGATACGAGAAAATGTTGGAATGAGAACACAATGCATGGAGGAGATTCTTTTAGATTTTAAATAAGCAAGCTTTTGTAAGCTTGTTGTTAATGTTTGGAAGTAGAATGGGGGGAAAATATTATAGTACAATTATCAGAATAGGAGATTTGTCAAATTTTGCTGCCATGTTTGACTTGGTTTATTGGCATAATAAAATTGTTTCACTATCCAGAAAAACACCTGGAATTTCTAAAGAAAACAAATAGAAATTCTACATTGTTTGTACTCCGATTCTCCAAGCAGCCTTTGCTTAAGATTTTCCATAGAATGTTTCCATTTGCAACAAAGAAATCTTTGACGGCGGGAAACGTTATCCAAAAAATGCGTAACACTAATTACGGGATTGCTTCATCAAAAATTGCTAATCATATGATATTTTAACGTGCACCTTTAATGAAGAAGAAGCAGAAAACCTTTGTGAATAGTTTGCTTCAGTTTATTCTTCGGAATAAGCAGCAAGTATTTTCGTCTTCTTATTCAATCAGTCGCTATTCCAAACAATAAATATTCTTGCAACACCACGACATTGATAAGAAGACCAATTTACTTTTTTCAAAATTAAAGCCGCTAAAAGATTACTCTGAGATTTGTTCACGATTGTCAAAAAATTAAGATATATTTTTGTAGCCAAGTCAGATGCGCCTCTCCAATAGCAATTTTTTTCGTGCATTTTTTTAAAGTCAAACAACAAAACAGGTTTTGATCATAGTTGTGAATTAGTAGCATCAGTGTCGTTGAATTTACTTAGTTAATGTACTTAATTTACAATTTTCTATGCTTTTTGTTAACTATGTGAAGAGCTTTGGTGTAAGTTTCACTGTTATGTGCATTGGTGTTAGATACAAATTATGTAATATCTCACGCTAAATAGGTGAAAACATTGAATACTTTTAACGTAAACAAATAGTTGTGGCATTTCAATTATAAAATGTGCCTTTTGTTTAAAGGCAATTAATACAACAAGGTGAAGTTCTAAGTAAATAGCATTGACCAAATTATTTAAACACATAAACTTCTTAAAATGTTATGAAAATAAAATCTGGTAACAACGTTCTTCTCTATTTCTGGAATCAAAAATTAACGTGAGACGCATATAAAAAATCTTATCAATGATGACTTCATCTTTAGGTAAGTATTTTCGTAACCATTTGGTAATACAAATACAAAATTGGTTTAATTAATTATCATTAATCATGATTTACAAAAATATTGATTGACGTTTTGACACCCATGGAGGTGATCATTTTCTGTATGCATGGTAAGTATTTAGCAGGAAAAACGACGATAAATGAGTTGTAATGTTATTATGAAACATCGAAGTTAATATTTTTTGTAAGAATAGAAATGTAAATATCCCGGTTCTTGCTTATGTTAAAAGACTAGTGCAGGAATTTTTTCAATTTTTCAAATATTTAAGAATTTGGTATCGTTGAATTATTTGAAGAAACAAAATAAGTTGCACTTTGTCAGACTTAGAAATATATGAAGATATAAGTTAATTTTTTCTTAAATGCACGAAGCAGCGAGTCAGAAGTGGAAAATGTATGATGCGTTATATGTTTTTTGAAAATCAAGGTCTCCCTTTGTCTTATTAAGGATGAGGTGAATTAGTTTTAAAATTAGGCATGATTTGTCTTTTGTGGTTAAAATGCGTAGGACTTTACTTAATGTTGAAGGAAATGCTGCCAATGTGCTCCTTGAACTGTAGAAATTCTGCTTAGTTTACATATTTTTAATGCTAAGAAACCTTTTTAAGTCACTGCTATCAAATGCTATATGTTTACATATTTTCATACCTGAGTATGTTCCAAGATTTAATTCAAACAAAGAGCTCTCATTCTTTACCATAAAATAATCATATTCAGCATATCTTTTGTTTCCTGATGTGTCTCCCATTTCAATACGAAGCTTATTTCGTTTTGCAGATGTTAGTCTATTTATTTTATCCAATCCTAGCCAAAATTCAGAACTGAGATTACCAAATCCTTCTTTATAGTCCTTCCAGCCTCGATAAAAATCAACACTTCCATCTAGTCGTCTTTGAAACACAGTCCAACCACCATCACGTGACGCCATGTCACAGTAGACATTGAAACATCCTTGGCCATCTGGATCAATTTGATAAACTCCACTTTCGTTCTTCCCATTTTTTTGTACCTCAGCACAGTCTGTTGCTAAGTTTAACAGAAAATGGTAAAACTCAATTTCCTAAGGTTATCTTTGACCAGGAAGATACTGTTTCTATTTTTGTCTCTTACACTGAAGTTTAGTTCTTATTACTTCCAAAATAGTATTAGAAAAGAAGAATTAGTCATACAACCTTTCTTATCCTCTCCAAGAAGTCCGTAGGTCTGTAATTAGAAAATATCGCATTAAGAACATTATTCTAATGTATTTAGCTGAAAAATATTTAACTATCCTAAGTCCACAATTTTTAGACAAAATTTTGCTTAAATGACAATTGTGCCTTTCAATCAATATTAAAAAAAGAAGAACGGGAGTGGACTGATGAATTGAAAAAGCGTAGGAGATTAATATTTGCCCTTTTATTAAGTGTCGTTTTTATATGTTTGACATGTATTACTATGATGCACAAAGGGAAAAGTATGTTCTCAAAGAGCTAGCTTTGGAGAGAAAAAATAGAAAAACAAAAGCTTGCTAAGAAAATTTGGTCAATGAACTATTAGCATCATTAAATTTAGAAAAAACTGTCTGCCTTTTAAATAGTTGTTGAGTTATGCATGTTCTTAGAACGTCTGTTTTCTAGATACTTGACGACGTGTTATATGCTTTATTCATTACATTAAGATCGATAAGATAGTGGTATTTATTGAAAACATACCGTCTTAGGAATTTGATAAAAAGTCCATTTTCCTTTTAAGGACAGTTTTCTTTCACTAGTATTTATTGTCATCTTGCTGGTTTGGCAGTTTATCTCATGTTCTTTTGCATCGATTAGATAGCTAAAGCCAACACACTGTTTTTGTTGAAGACAATTCATAGAGCATTCAATGAGACTGCCGACGACAATACTTGAAATTATATCTTTTTCTGCAACAGTATAGCCTTTTAATGATAGTTGAACAAAATATACAACATTTAGTCATTATTAAGTCAGTTTCCAATTTATTGTAATTTATTTATTAAAACAAATATCAAACTTACAGCAGTTAGTACTTATATTTTTAGTTTTTGCTTATTTTAGCAGTGAGAATTGTTATACAATTTGAAATAATACATTTCGTCACGACATTTAAATACAGTCAGAATAATAAATGTGACGAAACAAATTATAGCAACATCATTGTAAGACTTGTCTTAAAATAAACCAAGTAAATCGATTTAAGTCTTAGTTATCTTTTATGTTATAAACATACCACTAACTTTTGTTTTCATGAAGACACTTTGTGAACGTTGGCAAATGTCATTCGAGGTGTTGCAAGCAGGAATTATCAGAAAAAGGGCAAAGATATACACAACCATCTTTCAGAAAAGATTAATAGGAAAATTCCAAGAAATTTAAGCTGTTCGTAATTTTTTTGTCACAAATTGATTTGCAATTAATATCAATGATTATCTTGAGACAATGCTTAGGCTTTAAACTAGTCTTGTGTATGGCAACTTATGAGGTACGACTATATAAATATTTTGTAAGCTATTTCCTTATTAGGTCTTCGTTTTATTATACGACGTTAATATTTTATAAAGCCACCTGGACAGCATTAACTATTTATTATCCACGATTTTTTGAGAAGAGTCATTTAGACATCTTTTAATTCCTTCAAGCTGCCAAAATAGTGGCCTTTTTTCGCTACAAAATTTATTATTGTTTTTCCTTGCATTCCTTCGGTTTGCACGACCAAACATTTACAACTTTGGTCGCAGGTCCTTGAACTTGTCTATGTTTGCCATACATCAGAAGCTTTCTTCTTAAAATTTGTATTGCAAAATCACCATTATATCAACTTAAAAAATATCTCAATGTCTTATACATCTAGATTTTATCAAACAACTCTCAATTGCAGTGTAATTGACTCAAGGCAAACATAAATGGCAATATCTAGTTTTTCCACAAATGTGCAAAGAAAAGGTGCAATTTTGAAAACATGAAAAGTTTTTTTAAGGAAGGTGCAACTTTGAAATGGTGGTCATATAGTTTGGTAACGCTAAAAATTCTTCCTGATTTATGTACTCATGCTATTCTAGGACAAACATGGAAAAATGAGGACGAGAGTTTGACCATCCATTATGGCTGTGTTTTCTTTGCTGTAAAACTCTATGCTGAAACAGCTTTGAACGCATTTGTCTTGTGTTAATACTTAACCGATTTTCTACTAAATATCTCTTAAATCTAGGAGATATAGTCTTGAAACTATATTCTATTACATTTGAAATACAACAGCTTGTCAATGAAAGTATAATTGAGCCAAGTGAGTCAAATAAGAGAGCTCTAGAAGTTGTGACTAAGAACAACATGCACAAAAATGGTGATCAATAATTTACAAAGTAATAACAGGTTCACACAAGTGAATGGATAATTTTTGACTAGAGTAAATAAAATTGTTCAGTATAATGTTTTTAGCACCATTGATTTGACAAGTGCTCATCATTAATTTCAAATTCAAGTAGAAGAAAAGAAATATACTTCTTTTGAAATCAACCAACGTTTGCGTCAATTTTATCGAATTCCACTTAGAGTAAAGAAATAGAGCAGCTGTTTTTACGGAAAAAATGGACATCCTTATTTTAGGAGAACGTCTAGATGACACTTTAAAACAAATCGATAACATTACGATTTGTTGTCAAAATTAAGTTCATCACGACAGAAATGTTGAAAAATTCCTATAAGCAGCGTGAAAACACTGTTAAATTTTGAAATTTTAAATCGTCTAAAAACCCAAATACCATAATGATTTTTTAAAAATAATATTTAATGTTAATTAGTATTATATGGAATAATTCCGTCTTGGATTATAAGCAATAATTTATTTTCTATTTAATTGAACAAAAGACCTTTTATGTTAATCTGTTAATGTGAAACTTTATATTAATCTGTAACTCTATTAATCTCCCTCACATTTATTAAGAAAACTTATTACATGTTCGTATATGCAGATTGTCCTGGTTAGTAGAGTCCTGAGAAGACTGTTTTTGCTTTTGTTGACTGTAGTCTGTCCAGAAGGCCGTTACAATTCTTCATTCTTGCTTTCATTTGATTAGTCATGACCACTACAAAGAGGTCTGTTTGAATATATAACCGATGTAAAAGTTCAGGGATTTTCTTCTTTGCCCTTACCTCTTTCATTTCATTTTAAGCTGGATGTGTTTACGTTGTGATTGTGACTTTAAAGAGTTCACATAGCCAAGCTCTGGTCATGTACTATAAATTTACAAATTGCCATGTACGAATTTGTCTTTTATTTCTTACAATATCCATGTCATGAATAGAATTCATCGAATCTTACAAAGAATAGAGAGTGTCAGCAAATCATTGGCCATGCTATATTGACTTAGCACTTCCATAAAGTCAATCTTTCTTTGTGTATCAATTCGTGGTATCAACTTTCCCGAAAGCTTTGAACACACGATGTTGTTTACAATTTCGGTATAAGCTTTCCCTGTACGATGATAAATGTTTGACTAAAGGACATGCACCTGTTAAAAAATTGATATGTTCTTAAGAATTTGTTTAATAAATTTCTTTCAAAAATCATAACAGATGCACATTTTTAAAGTAAATGATGATGGGCATAGTCTGCGCATAAATGTTAGGTGGTGTGTCCCATTTCTTTACAAGCTAATATTTTTGTTAAGGACGCTTTGTTAGTATTTTTCTTCATTCGTTTTCACATGTATTATTTTTGAAGCAGGTACTTTCTAAAGAACATGTACCTGTTGAAAAATTGATGTAAGATTATTCTGCATACAGAAAGTCCCTTGACGATAATGGTTCTTAGTTATAAATAATTAATGGTTGGCAATAACACAAGTTCAGGCATACGAACTAAACCAATTCACCAAATTCGTTCTTGAAACTTGCCTGGTGCATATAATTTCGCTCTTATATTGAAAGTATTTTTGAGTCTCTCGCATTTATGTTATGATATTATCGCTAATTGCTTCCAGCGTGTCATCACACTATTCTTGGCATGCCTCTGCCCAGTCCTTCGCCCGATCTAAATAGAGGTGAAATCTCGATTCTTGGATGTCTGTCGGTATCATTTTTCTGGCAGGTATTTTTACGGTTTAAGTGGGAGCGCACAATCACAACAAAGTACGTAGAACCTTTCGGAGCGTCTGTTTGATTTTGTGGATAGCCGCTGCGCATGCGCAGTTTGTCTTTTGTTATCCTCGGAGATAGTCGGACTTAGAAGTTATGACGAGGAGGGCCGTTTAGTGTGTTCGTTACTTTTTCGGGAAATATCGCAATGTTGTTTTCCTTAAATTTTCATTTCGTTCTGTCGATTTACTCAGAGCAAATTTTGAGTGTGGCAAACCTAAACTTTGTGTCTTAAATTTTTGGGATTTTCGGGAGTCTCGGGGATTATGGAAATTTTGTCGTTAAGTTGTTAAGCTTGCTCATTTCTTTGTTTTTTGATGGAATGTTTACGGTGAAATTTTAATGTGTGTTAGGTCATTATGACAATGAATACAAGCGCACATACATATCGTAGTACGTATGTACGTAATACATTAGCTACATGTGAACTGTAAAGAGTCTGTCTGCTTACAAAGATCAAGCAGAAGTTATATACAATAAGCAAAGAATCGTCGGTGACATAATCCTGTGAAAATGTTGTTATATTGAGAAATATATAGAATCATTACGACTCTAATATTGACTTGTATTACACTTCCTGTTGTTATTTATTCAGTCAGGCAGAACAAAGCATGAGCTTGATTCATCGATTATGAAAACAAAATTTCTTACTCTTTCATAAAAAAAGTAACTTCTAAAAGTCAAAATATTATTCAAAAGCAGGGTGGATGGTGAAGTGGCAACTCATGTATATAGTCAGGTAATAGGTCCAATTTGGTATTATTTTTCTAAAAAACTATTTGCATTGCTTATACATTGCTTATAGGCCTTTTGCGGCGCATCAAGTCGTGTCTCCCACTAAGCGCTAGGATAACTTTCTTTAATTCTTTTGTTCTGCCCCTTTTTGACAACGGCGATATAATATGGGGAGACTGGGGCAACACTACACTTATGACAGAGCTACAGATCCTTCACAATAAGGCTGCGCGAATCATTTTAGATCTTCACCCTACTGCTTCCGCGAGCGATACACTTTCAAGGCTCCATTGGAGACCTCTAGATAGGCGGAGAGCCGAGCATCGTGCTATTTTCATGTTTAAGGCAGTTAATAACCTTTTTATGCACACTTTTCACTGCTGTTTTAACAGTAACTATCATAACTATAATACACGATCAAAGCGAAATATACGCAAATCGTTCGCACACAGAAGATGGGGGCACTGGATAACAATAAATTTTGCAGCGGACGTTTGGAATGCCTTACCCCTTTCCATGAAAGATATGCCCACCTTAAGCCAATTTAAGCGTGGTATCAAGAAAGCACTATTTTAATTAGTTTCGTTTTTAGCATGTTAATTTTCAAATGATGTAGTTTTATCTTCATATTTTCGCCTTGTATTCTTTTTCTTTTTATTTTTAAATAGTTATATCAGATTTAGTTACTTTTAGAGGACCCCTCTGTAAACCACTTTTTAATGATGTTGGAATCCTCAATAAAGATTAGCTATTATTATTACATCGCTAGATTCCCTAAACTATAAAGTCCTTAATTAAGCAGGAAGTTCAATATATTTTTGATCACTTGCAATCATTGAGCGAAGCGTTTACTATCAAACATTGATTGCAAGAAACGCAAAATCTTTGGAAATAAATAGACTTTTCAAAACATGACTAGAAAAAGGTAACAAAAAACACGACCCGTTGACTCAAAACACAATTAACTCCCTATATAATTATGTTGAATAACGTGTCACAAGCAAGCATCGTGAATAAAACACCACACGAGTACATACGAGTATCTACGAGTACATACGAGTACATACGAGCGACATACGAGTACATACAAGTACATACGACTGACATACGACTACATACTGGTCAACAATTATTTAATAGGAAGTTTTTGAACGTAATTATTTAATAGGAAGTTTTTGTTTATTTGAATCTCCGTAAGTGCAGTGCTCGATGCTTAAGAGCAGAGCGTAAATTATGATAAGAAGAAGAAAATACACAAAAACTACAATTTCATCGCGACAAGCCTGTTTCGTGATTTCTCACTCTTCAGGGGATGATGTTAAATTCATTTCAGAATAAGGTTTGAGAATAAGGATTTTGAAAGTGTTTGAATACCTGCTGTGGGCGGTAATTGATCATTTCAGAGGTAAGTTCAATTTTAAACATCCTGTTTAGCAAGAATGTCATACTTAACTTGTTCCTACATCGTGTTAATAGTCGCTTTATACCTGACGGTTTGAGTAAAAACATTTATAGATAAGACGTACATAAAGCCAAAGATACTGAAATCGTTGTCCAAAGACGCCTTCATGAAACATTAGTATACGCACGAAAATCAGGTATATGTAGATCCGAGATTTCATTTTACGAGACATTTATCATAATAGATTATGTTACTTTTACTTTTATACAATGATTGGTGGATATTGTTTTATTGGATTGTCTCATTAAACACAAATCGCTGTTGCTTTTTGATAATTGTTATAATATGTAACACTATAGATTTATGAACAAAAAAGTTAGTACTAGTTATAAAGTAATATGATACAATATACATGTTAGTTATTGTGTTGTCTTAAAAGAATTTCATATTTTTCTCTAAAGAATGTCATATTGTACTTGATTAACCAAAGCAGCCAATAATTGGTATTCTTTTAAGAAATACACTATGTATAACCTGAGTATATCTATCTTTTCTTTATTTCTATTCATCCCTTTATAACTAGTCAAGGCTGTAGAAAGCTTGTTCAATAAAAATTATAATATCAGTGAAGGTTAGACTGCATTATTTATAAATATTGTAAGAATTGCACACTGGTTGGTAGTTTTAAAGCTACTTTCTGTTCTCCAGGAGTATATAAATTCTATCAGATTAATGACATCAACAAACAGTATCGTCTAAGTTGCAAATCAATGTCATGATAGTCTGTTTTGCTTAATCTTCCTGTCCCCCAGATGAATTTGGTATGTGTGGCAAGTAACTTAGTTTGATTGCTAATTTTACATTTTACCTTAAAAACTATTAGTAGATAGTAGATAGTTGGATAGTAGATAGTATATTTAATTCATGTGAAGTTCATGAAACAACTCCTTATTAGCACATTATGTAAATATTTTCCTACACAATTCTGCATTTGTTAATTATTATAACTTGCCTAAAAATTGCAGACATCTTATTCATCTTTTTGCAATAGAACAAATTCATTGTGATTGGTTTACAGATTCAACAATCCTTAAACATCTTAAGAAACATAAATTGCTTGTACACATACTTTCCTGGATTAATTTAAATGTTTTATTAACTTGCATGCATACAAATATAATGAAAATTTGTTTAATGCATGTCTGAATTATTGTTCAAACAACATTATCTCTTGGACATATGATGTCTATTGTTCATGGCAACATCTATACACATGTGAATTACATTCATATTTTTATACCTATGTGTTATCTTGTCTTCATAACATTATAAATGTGCAAAAACTATATTTAAAGTTATCAAACTGCATCATGTTGAACAAGAAATAAACATGTTTATTCTTATGTAACGATCATAAACCAACTTTTATTACATGAGTTAATCCAAACAAAATGCCAAGCTTCAGTGAATTGTCTTGGACCATTAATTATACTCTTTATTACTTTATCATACACTTTATTTACTACAAGCAATCTCGATTGTTTTGGGGGTAAAATGACTATAGTGGTCAATAAGACATGCACGCCTAATCCTCATTGTGGACTAAAGTGCCAATATTAAGACCTGCTATATGAAAAGGCAAATTCAATGTATTATCCAGAAACAAATTTCTCGGAACAGTATTATTAATCTTTCAAAACTCGACCATGCTGCACGTGATTCTCTGTAGGAAATTTGCGACTCGGTACCCTCTTTCAAACTCAATACCCTTTTGGCAAGAACTGCTTTCCATATTAAATGATGCTAAAATATGTTAATGTTGGCAAATACCTAATCGATGGAACCCCCCCTCCCCCCCTTGACGCTGTTCCTGTTTCTAATTTTGTACATCCTCAATTTGTTTCTCTTATGAATGCCCTAAATGGCGACATTTTGATGGCTATATTATTAGCCATTGCTCAAGGGTTTCAATATCTTGTCTTTCGTATAGAATTGAGGATTTAGCCTACTTTTCTATTGACCGTGTTAAGCCTGTTTTTTACGTCGCATTTTACATGAGTCGAATGCATTCAAAACAAAAGATAATGAGGAATTTTATCTCATTTTCCTTTGTCGCTAATGCATTCGACGCATGTAAAGTAGGACGTATAAAACAGGCCTTATTCACATCCCCATGACAAAAGTAAAACATTTAAAGATCGCTTTCGCCATAAATACCGTGCATGAAAATTGTTGTACAGTCATGGACTGAAAATCATATTGTCACAAACTGCAGATGCAACAAATTATCTATTTTTTAAGGTAAAACGAGATTGCCTTACTGTGTCTTTCATAGGCTCATTGTAAATAAATCTTAAGACTTATGATTAACGAAGGATGTATATTGTTACACAGTTGAACTATAGTGATTGTTTAATTTTTTCAAATAGACATCAAACATGGAAATTGTAAGATTCGTTTCTAAAGAAGATATTGAAATGGCAACAAACTTACTGCCAGAAAGGAAGCCACGAGAGAAATTGACTGTTTTGGGTACAGGAGACTTTTGTCGTGCATTAACAAAACGACTCTCAACGGCTGGATATCACGTCGTTATGGGAATACCGTTTAATATTGTATCCTTGAACGATGCTTTGGAACACTCTGACATCATTTTTCTTGCCATTTCTTTACATGGATATGACAGTTTATTGACATCATTGGGGAGCCAACTAAATGGTTTGTGTTTAGTTGGGTTTTTTTTTCAACTAAGAAATGAAAACTTTAGATGAATTGCTGTTTTCAGGATATTTGAATAATGAGCCTAAACATAGATTTACCTAGAAACCCTTAAATGTTCATGTCTTGTAACAGCCTTCCTTAACTGTCAATTTAAGTTAGACTGTCTAAAGCGTATTTGTAACACTTTGATTTTCAATACTGACAATAAAATCGGCTAAATTAAAACATATTTTCGAGATGAGCAGATCGACATATAAAGACGTACTTAAACATATTTTTTACATTTTAAGGCGATATATAAATCTCTTCAACTAATACCTTGTACAAAAAAGTTATTCACTACGTAATTGTATCAGTTGCTTAAAGATAAACTATATATCTTATTGAAATTGCCAATTCTTATTTTTTGTCTTTTAAAGGAAAGATTGTTGTTCACGTTAGCAATCGAACCCAGACCTCTTTCAACGAGCTATCTAATGCTGAGGACTTATCAAGTCTACTACCTAAAGCTCACGTTGTGAAAGACTTCAATGTGATATCTGCATGGGCATTGGAACTAGATATTTATGGAGGAAGTCGGACTGTTTACATTTGCGGAGATAATGCGGAAGCAAAGAAAAGGTCGGATGAACGTTTAAATTTATCATTTTCAATTTTAGCAAGTTGCTTTATTTTACATTTTCGATTTTGTGATCACTATCCTTTGAGCGATTATGCGAAATAAGATCCTTTATAGTCAGGCCCCAAACTACACATTAACTTAACATCGAAATTATAATTCATTTTACAAACTTTGAATGTTTTCGTTTCGCAATAAAGTTAATTAGTACATCATAGAACTCGTACGGTACATGTTGACAAGAGTAATGACATCAAGATTCACCATGAATGCTGAAGGTCATAAATAATTTCGCGATCATATTATATATTATCCAGTCCAAATGTCTGCTACATAAAGCTGCCACTTTTTGCTGTAAAGATTCAAATCATTCATACGTAATTGTAATGCTTTATGAGGTCGAGAATAGAAAAATGATATGTGAGTTCGTATATACGATTGCATTGCTAACACTGATCTAAAACCCTCCTTGGTCAAATCTAATAAATTGTGATATGCAGTTATCTTGTCAAACTAGTAAAGGACCTGTTTAACAGTTTGTTTGCACTTAATTTCCTTGATGTAACCTTGTGTAAAATGACCATCACGAATAACATGGCATATGTGCCATTTCCTCAATCCAGGACAAGTGTCCTGAAAAGAAGACCTTCCTTGACAAAAATAAATAATCTTTTTGAGGAACTTAACGTGTTTAGAATGTTAAATTTTAGGGGTGGTCAACTGAGAAAAGAATTGTATTAGTTTAATATTTACTAAGAAAATTACCATGCACTATCTCTGGTCAATTGTCAATTTAGCATGATTTAACAAATTTTTTTAAAAGGTAAATTAAATGCATTCAGACTCTTATACAGATCCTTGACAAAGCCTCCGGTCCGCCATTGTCGCTCAACAAATGCTTTGGCTTCCTGCCATTTTTGTAAAAACATTGATTTTTTGTAATGATTTTTTGCATTTACCAAAGCCTTTCGACAATTTCACATTTTAGTTAATGACAATTTAATTCTGATAATCAGAAAGTTATTTTTCCATCAAAATTAAAATGTTCATGAAGCATTTAAGAATAGTCCATTTCATATGAAGTCAATGTGGAATATCATTCAAATCATATATGACTCAAAGCAAAATGTTTTCTTTCTCTAGATTATGCAAATATCTGGAAGAGTGCACTTTACACCCCTTCATCAAGGCTCACTAAAGGGCGCCAAAGCTATCGAGAAAAAGCCAATGGAGCTATTTTTGGGATTTTTGTACTTCGTTATGTGGTTATTCTTCATCCTTGCGTATCTAATTCGAAAGGTTCCGTTTACTATTTTTCCTCTAAGAGAGATCAGTATTATTAATGCCTTCACTGTAATTGGACTTTTGGAAATGGTTTATCTCCCAGGATGCATTGCCGCCATTGTACATTTGGTATACGGTAAGACTTGACTTGAATGATTTTGTATTTACATATTGCCGTAAACAAAGCAGTAGTCACTACCCTTTGCTACAAACTTAACAGAATAAGTTTTACATTTGATTGAAAGATGATCATTTTTATCATTAACTACGGATTATATTTTTGATTTTTGCATAAATCTCCATTTTCTGGCGTATTTTTGTCTGGCAATATTGCAAACATTCATGTCTTTTATTTTGTGGTTCAACTACTGTTTTTCACTGCATCGAAAACAGATGCACAAACTGAAAACAGTTTAGTATTAACTCCATGAATTTAAGATTTACTGTTTCTATTCTTTAAACACAAATGAATTTGTTCCCACGTGGAATTTTCTTTTCCAAGGTACCAAATATCGTCGTTTTCCAAAATGGCTTGACATTTGGATGAAATCTCGTAAACAACTTTCAGATAAACTGACAATGAAGATGGCTTCAAAACACTTTCTGCTTTTTCTCATTGGTGAGATGTCACTGATCTACATTATTACAACAGCAAAATATCATTTGGATCTCCTAGATAATGGAGGTAGAGTTGTTTGCATAATTTTTCTTCTTTAGTCATTTCCAGCGATTCTAAATATAGCTAAATAAAACCAAGCAGGTCCAAGAAAAAGAAGTTTGAGACTTTGCTATGAGTTGCCAGGCAACTTAGCACAACAAACATTTACTTAGTAAAATATTATAAGAAGACTGGAGTTCATTACTCTAAAGAATGGAGTTTGTTATCTCTACTCCTTCTCTGAGTTGCTGACTGTTTATTCTTATGCACAAGTGAATACATCAAAATAAGGCAACTTGTCAAACAGAATGATAAACACAATTGGACAATAGGCAACATAACAAATTGGATAAAATCTTGAAATTATAATCAGAGGCGTAACTAGAACGTTAATTGGAGTGTGTATATTCATATATTTAGTTGTGCCCTACTGATTTCTTTTGAAATTCAAATCACTTTCAAAAGAAATCAGTAGAGCACAGCGGGATAAATGAATATGCACACCACCACCAATTAACGTTCTGGTTACACTTTGATATAGTAACTGTTCCGAGCAGTTGACCTGACCGCACTGAGGTAATCTTATTACTCTTATCATTTTATGGATAGTGGATGCGCATTTGAAAGATTTTCTATAGCCTCTTAAGCATTTTTATTTCAATTGTTTTGATTTTCCTTTGTTCATTATGATCATTGGTGCAAAAAATGCAAGGCCAAAGGCACACATTAAATTTGTGTGAGATGGAAAAAACGTCAAAATGACAATAAAGCTTTTGAGCAGGTCCAGCAGGAAATAAATGGAATTACTCGAGGTCATCTCGCACAAAGTGCAAACCCTTCAGCTAAAACATAGTTGCATACAATTCATAAAGCTGTAGATTTTATAATCGGTGGATTGAACAACATTTCACATAAGTGTCTAGCTTTTTTGAGACTAGCTGTGTCTTCGAGATTTGATCTTAAGGCATTTCCATCAAAGACACAGCATTAATGGATCAGGCCACCCGATTCGGCAATCGCTGATACCAACTCCTACCAAAAATGTGACGATACTGGTAACAAATGATTTTTTATTGCTATAATGCTGAGGCGTAACACTACACTAGTCTTGACATGACTTGAAAAAGTCCTTCCGGCTGATATATGTTGCTATTTTTTCGTGTCGTTACTACATTTTTTGTCCTTTTTCTTTAGGTTTGAATATACGATAACTATCTCAATACGTCTTTTTATTGTGTCGTTCTCTTTACTGTGCCAAACTTTTTTGACTTTACGTGTGTCTTTTTGAATTTACGTGTGCAACACAAAATCCTTAGTAGGATGTGCACAACGTCGTGGACCTAAGTGCGTCCCACTGTACCTGGCAATTTTTGCGACGAGGGGGAGAGGTTGGAGTAACCCTTTGTCTTGCGATAGTAACTTCTAGTTATATTGCATATTTTTACATATTTCACCCTAAAATATGACTATCTGAACCGACAACACCCTAACATCACATTCATAGCTGAAGTCGAACAAAACAGAAAGCTCTCATTTCTTGACATTTATATCTCTCGTACCAATGGAAAATTCACCACTTCCGTCTACCGCAAACCTACTTTCACTGGCCTTTTCACTAACATCCACAGCTTCATCCCACTTGCCTACAAACTTTCATTAGTCTCCTGCTTACTTCACCGCATCTTCAATCTTTGCTCTACTTACGAAAATTTTCATACACAACTCAGATTTACCAGAAAGTCACTCACCAAAACGGTTTTCCTTCACGCATTGACCAAATCACGTCCTTCCTTAACTTAACACCTCCAAACCACCTGTCTTGACTGCTCACAAAATGCCCATCTATTTTTGTCTTCCTTTCACCGGCATACACTCCCTTCAAATTCGCACACAAATCAATAGCCTTTGTGCTGCAGCCTTCCCACATATATCCATTGAATTTGTTTTCCGCCCTTCTCAACGTATCTCTTCTTTCTTCCCCTTTAAGGACAAAATTCCCAAACCTCTGAGATCTGGCGTAGTCTATTTATTCAAGTGTCGAAGCTGCAACGCCTCGTATGTGGGTCAAACCACACGTCATCTACACACCAGATTTTCGGAGCACTTGGGAATATCCCCCCTTACAGGCAACCAAGTTTCCCACCCTGGACACACCCCCAACTTAGACGACTTTAAAATAATCTCCTCTTCCAACGATACTTATGAACTCTCCATTCATGAAAGCCTTCTAATCAATAAATACAAGCCTTCACTTAATGTGCAAGGAAACTCCATTCCACTTAACCTCTTTTAATTTCTCTTTATTTTACTTCCTAACTTCCTTATCATGTATCCATTCGACACTGCTTCCTTTAGTAGTAATTTAACACCTTTTTGTAAATATAATATCTTGTCTTAACATCCTATTTATTATTTGTCTGAAGATGTCTTGAGTAAAGACGAAACGTCACAATAAATTTAACTTTACAATTCGTTTTTTTTTGGTCTATTTCTATGGCTCTAATCAGAACTTTATGTTACGCATTAATTTTTATCACACGAATTCGATTTCCGCTCGGCAAGTCTCTCGCTACAATTTTAAATCACCCTAAAAATAGTCATTCCTTTAATTAAAGGCTGTGAAGCAAATAGTAATTTCTTGTCAAAAACAAAGTTATAAGGAACATCCTTGTTATTTTGTACGAATAACGTGAGAAAATGCATTTTTTTCAAGTATCTTCCTTCCCTACAGGTTGTTCAATTACTTTCACAAATGGATTGTATGCAGTTAAAAAGACTGGCTCCTTTTACAAGCGTTCACCGCCACCTGAAGAGTGAAAAATGGATAAATCGTGCACAAAAAATAGGCAATAACGGTTGGGCTGGCTTCAAGTTCCTTTTCTCGGACCAGATGGTGACTTGTATGCAGTTCGTAAAGATGGGACATTTTGAAAGGTTCTCCACCTAAAATGCACGTGACAGCTGGAGTGATCGTGCAACTAAATTGGCAATAATGGTTGGGCTGACTTCAAATTTCTCTTTTTTGGTCCTGGCAGTGACTTGTATGCAGTTCGTAAAGATGGCAAGTTTTTGAAAGGTTCTCCACCTAAAAATGCACTTGACAGCTGGAGCACTCGTGCAACTATAATTGGCAATAATGGTTGGGCTGACTTCAAATTTCTCTTTTTTGGTCCACATTGCAACCTGTATGCCGTCCAACCAGAGGGTTCCATCTTTACAACGTACGAACCAAAGGACAGGTCTGACAGATGGTTAGACCGCGCAAAAAAGATTGGCACAAACGTTTGGCAACATTTCAAGTTCCTCTTTTTTGGTCCTGGGGGTTATTTGTACGCAGTACCATGTGATGGTTCTTTACGAAAAGCCCCTCCTCCAAGAAACGCAAGTGATACCTGGATTTCTCGCTCATCTAAAATCGGTGCTAAAGGATGGGCAAGTTTTGCATTTCTGTTCTAATTCTCTTGATTTACTTCAGTAGCTACTAACAATTCATGATTATATTATGGTAATTGTTCTCAACGTAAACAGTTTTAAAATATAATGTCATTAGCAACCCATTTTGCTTTGGTTGCATGTTATTGCTTATTAAACATTTCTCAAATTTTGTAATAATAGCTCGATTCCTTTATGTCTTTTAAATTTTTGGGTGTTAATATTGAGGCTTATATGAAAAATTTGATTTATTTCTCTGCACGCTTTGCTAGAAAATTCCATGTGTATTCACATTGCACAAATTTCCTCGTGTTTACACAAAATGTGTATAACACACTGACATGGAAGTGTTTTTGCATTGCCTTTAAATACAGGGGTTAAGCTTTTGTATACATGTTTTATTTAAAAAACGTTCTTTGCAAACAGAACAAGTTTGAATAAAAAATGAGAAAGCTCTTTTGCAGAAAAATTTTTTGCAAACCGACCACGTGCCAAGGAACTCAAATTTTGCATAACATAACAAAATTCTCAAGAAGAAAACAGGCTTGACAATAGTGTGTTTTTGTGACGTTTAAAAAAGGGTACAGTCAATAATAACTTCGACTTTACACGAAGATTGACAGTACAAGCTTTTATTTGTTAAAAATGGCGAAATTTTAAAAGAACTTTTTAGGATTATCAACTTTCTAGCTATTACTCGTTCTATGACTCGAGAATTGCAAGAAAATTTTTCCATGAAATCATGCATACAAAGAGAAATTGATTCATCAATTGTGTTCATAAAAGATTACTTTCCTTCATTTTTTTTCATTAACTCTTGAATAGCTCATCAGAGGTTTGATAATGTTTCTTCCGAACAGTTAATCCAGCTGCGCTCTCTTTTGCATACGCATCGTAAACCCAAGGCTCCCTGAAAGAGTGAACTCTTCCAGACACTGAGTATTCTACCATGCGACCATTACATATTTTCTAAAACAAAGAAATTATACCATTATCGCATGTTAATAGAAAACAAGACAAGGTGAAAAAAAAATAAATGAAAAGTTATTTTCTAAAGAGAAATCTGAGGATCTAAACTAAACTATCTATCTATCTAAAATCTAAACTATCTAATTTTAAAGACGAGCAGTTTTTGAGACACTGTATAACTAGAGGATATACGTGGGCCGTAGCTAAAACATTAATTGAGGGGTGGTAGGGTGTATATATATTCAGTTGTGCTTTACTGACTTCTTTAGAAAGCCAAATCACTTCCAAAAGAAGTTATTCGGTCACAACTGAATTTATGAAAATGCACTCTCCCCGACCCAATTAGCGTTATAGCTACGGGCCTGAGGATAAGTAAAGATTAGTGAGAAAGGATTAATGTAAGAGTCGTGGAGCGTAAGTAAAAAATATGTAAAATGGCAAACAAAGACAAAAATGAATAAAGAATAGAGAATGCTATATATAAGCGTTGGTATACCAACTTTCTAATGTAAGCCGTTGTCTATAGTCAGTGCTGTAAGTAATACATTTCGCCTAGTCCCAGTCAATGTTGTGTTTTGTGAGTCGGTGATGTTGGGCAATGTGCTTAGTTTTGTTTTATTTCTTTGTAGATCGTTTGTGTTCAGTAAATGTTATGTTTAAGTTCCTCCCAGTCTCCCCGATATAGGAAGCGTGGCAGTCGGAGCAGTTTATTTTGTAAACTGCCCATTGTCGTTCGTTGGGTTGTTCTTTGTCCTTGATGTTCGTTAGTAGTTGTCGTAGCGTTGTAATTGGTTTATGTGCAACACGTATGTTGTATGGTCATAAGATACGCGAGATTCAATTTTTGAAATATTTAACGAATTTGGTATCGTTGAATTATTTGAAGAAACAAAATAATTTGTACTTTATCAGACTTAGAAATATATGAAGATATAAGTAAGTTTTTTCTTAAATGTATAAAGCAGCGAGTCGGAAGTGGAAAATGTATGATGCGTTATATGTCTTTTGAAAATCAAGGTCTTATTAAGGACGAGGTGAATTAGTTTTGAAATTAGGCATGGTTTGTCTTTTGGGGTTAAAATGCGTAGGACTTCAATTAATGTTGAAGCAAATGCTGCCAATGCTCCACTCTCGTTAGACCATCATTTATACATATTTTGTTATTCTGGTCACATACGTTCATGAATTACTTTAAGTAAACATATATTTTTATAGGAAAGTATTTTTTGTCCATTCCCATTATGCCTTTTATCAACAAAATCAAAACTAGTTTAACGACTAATTAAAAATTTGAACAAGAAAATTCCTAATCACAAAACACCTTTCCCCTTATACAATAGGCTTTAGAAACAACAAACAACAACTGAGGCATTTCGAAAATTTAAATTATCATTTAAGATTATGATTTCAGATACAAAACTTTAGTTCTAATTAAAAACTACAAGCAATAGGGAAAATCAATTGTAATCTATTTATCATACATAACAATAGACAAAGCAATATACGAATTATTTAATTTTATGTTCTGTCATAAAAATGGCGTTAATTAAAATTTTGAATTCTTCGTCGACCAGTTTTACCAGTTTGTTTAATTATTTGAGGCTGACACAATAAGTTTGGAAATTTTCTTGACTTGTCCTTTTCTCCTGGAATTAAAAATTGGAAAAATATGAATATAGAAAAGCAGCGATGCAATATGAATTATTAGATAAAATTAACATAATTAAATTATTAAGTAGAAAAAGTTTTTATTTCATTTAGATAAGTTACTGGATAACAATATTCATCTCGTTCACAAATACGTTCTATTTCATCCTTTTCAGACGAAAATTGTGATTCAACACTCGCGGCTTAAGTATCATTCACATGCTAAGATGATGAAAATGCAAATTAATATTTATGTTTATACAGTATTCCGTATTCATGCTATTAAAATTAGCATTATTGTTTCATTTCTTTTATATCAGGATGGTATGAATACAATTTGTGAGAATCTTAACATTTTGTCAGCATTAAGTAAAGAATCCTTAAAAGTAGCGTAATTGTAACTTGTCATCGAAAATTATTTTAAGTTTTACCTTTTGTATTTCTTCAAGATATTTTAAGAGGGAGTAGATGCAGTTGAGTGTAATTTCTTTTGAAATCGCATCCTGTTTTGGAGGTGAAAGTGGAGACCACAGTGATGGTTCTTCTAAACACGACCGTAACGCTTTGTCTTCTTCAGGCCAGTATTTCTTGGTGTCTGATGAAAGGTAGCGGAATATGAAACGACGAAGTGCTTTTATAAAGTTCTGTGGCTTCAACTGCTCAATTTCTGTCTTCGTCACACTACTGACGATTTCTTTCACGTTTTTTGGCAACTCTTGTCGAAATCTGTCCGCAAGTCCATCAATGGCACCATCTGCAAGCATATCTTCAAGAGCTTCATAAAGTGCAGCAACATGTTTTATCTTGATCGAACTTTTAGGATCAGGTAACAGATTTAGTGGGAAAGGGCTTGGCAACATCTTTGACCACTTTTCAGCAAGCTCTTCCAAAGTCATTTCAACGTCAAAATTCTTTAACTTTCGTTTGATAAGGAATATAAGAACTTCGACATGCTGTAAAAGATGTTGGCTATCTTTTATTCTTCGTTCTTTCAAGTTTGACAAACCTTTCTGTATCTCAATGGGCAAAGTTGGGGTCTGTCTCACTAGCAATCGAATCTCTGTCAATAAAGGACCGCAGAAATGGAACAGTTCTTTTGCAAATATGATTTTGTTAAGCGTCCCAGTCAGATAACACTTTCAAAAGCGATTTTTGTTGCCAGCCAAATTTCTATCCGTTGAAAATCGTACTTGACTTCTCGCCCTCTGCCATACTCAAGATTGCTCTGTCCATATTTGAATAGTTCATCAGACCATTGGTAACTGATTATATCTTTTTGTTTAGCATTTTGAACTGAGATTGACATGACACCACTGCATTTCTCTTTTTCAAGAAAGCTTAAAGCTGGATGACTGTAGGAAGATGAAAGGGAAATCATTGCATCTAAAATTAAGTTTTGGTAAGAGACTAGAATTTCTATGGCTGTTTTAAGGTAAACACCATATTGACTTTCTAGTAAACAGTATGCAACAGAGTCATTCTGTACAAGGCGCGGCATCTTCTCTTGTTTAATCAAAAGCTTTTGATTTACCAAGGGGCGCATTTTATTCCATGCTTCTATAAATTTGTTGAACAAAATCTTTAAACTTTCTGTTTCTTGCGGAGTTCTTTTCAGTTCCAGAAGATGTCCACAGATAAAATCATTGATAGACTTAGTTTCTGCATCTTTTCGACTAATGCGATGTGTTAATGATGACGATAGTAAACGAGACCATTTCAGTAAATGGTAGAGATTGGGAATAATCTGGAGTTGGTTAAACGTTGCAAAGAACAAGTTCAAGAAACAGTGTTTTTCTTGAACATCTTTTGGAGAAAAAAGGAATGCTGAACGGAAATCTTCCAAACTTGGTTGCTTCGTCACCCGAAACAATCTCTTCATATCCTGTCTTTGTTCTTCTGGTTCTTTTGGATAATTGTCAAGTTCCAAGATGCTGCAATTCAGTGTAATGTTTTCACTGTCTTTGGAGTGCAGAGGCTTTAGAATTTCCATTAGTTCCTTTGACATCCCACGCGATTTCAAAAACACGTCCTCCGTTAACTGTGAAAACGTTTCTTCCCATTCCCGACGAATCTCTAACTTGGTAAAATCTTTTACTCCTTGTAAGTTATTTCTGATCAGATTCGAAGTTTTCTCAACTACAAGATGCATGGTTTTTATGGCAAAATCTTTTTTGCAGCAAAGGATTTTCATTAGATGTGACAGATCATCTTGAATATTTTCAAAACAAAAACTCTCTGGGTTAGAACTATTGCTGTCAAAATGAAAACCATGCAAAGAATTGAGTGACGTTGAAAGGCTTTCTTCCGAGAAACTACCAATAGCAAGGCCAGCATAAAAGGATGAGTAAACGATGAGATGCAAAGCACGATAAACGGCTGGATTCAAGTTAGTTGTGCAAAGAAAACTTGAGTCACAAAAACTGGAGTGTGATGGTACGGCAAACGTTTCGAAAGATGGGAAGCTCACTGTTTCTTTACGCAAAACTTCGTGACAACATGGGCACTCACTAATATCGTCTTTAATTGACAATCTAAAACCACATACACATGTAAAATGGACGGAATCTTTGACAAATGGTAAAAATTCGAAGGCGCAAAGTAACTTTGCTTCTTCATCGTGAGAAGGAATACAAACTTGTTGAAGCTGGGAAGGATTTGTGACACACATATAAAATGGCGATTTTTCATCTGATGCACCTGTGCCAACGATACTGGCAATATGCAAAACTAACAACGCCATTTCTACTTCTTCAACTGACGACTCGGGTGATAGTTGGAGTTGTGCACAGTGGAAATCGTGACGTCCAATAACTCTCATAAACAGTTCTTGGAGCATTTTAGGGAAAAAAGCAACCTCTTTAGCAAACCAATCGGCCATTTTTTCTTCTTTATCAGTGAGTTTTCGCACAGCCCGTTTCAAATATATCATGTTTGTAAGAATTATAAAAAGAGAAAATGCATGATTTGGAGAATTTTTACATTTGATCATATATTCTTCCATAGATGAGCTGTTACCTGAACTCAACTTAAAATAGGCAGCCTTAGCTTCTGCATATTCGGGGCTTTTCAGCGGAATCGGAAACACTGCTTTCTCCTGAATATTTTCGTCACACCATGGTTGCTGCAACGCTGAAAGGACTTTACTTTCCTTAAAAAACTTTTGCAGATCAAAAAGACTTACATGTTCACGAAGTTGTTTCATGAAAAAAAATTGTATTGATGATTTCTGACATTTAAGCAATGAGTTGACTTCATACATCAAAAGAACATATGGACTGTCTTCTTTTAAAGCGCTAGTGTTAACAATTAATTTTGCTAAAATTGTGAAGAATCCCCGAAGTACTGCAACAGCTGATAGTATTCTTAAACCACACTCCTTCCGGTTGCCTTGGGATATCAATTCGGAGGCAGATTTAGCAAGCATAAGCACTTCACAATCAGAACTATTAATGTCTTCTACTGTAAAATGACTTTCAAACTTCAGTAAGCATTGAATAAGATCACAAATCATCACAGAAGCATACGAATCATGATGCATCAAATCATGCGAAAAGCGATCTTTGAATACTTCATCAATAGTTTGAAGACAAGGACAGTTTTCTATGGCAGTTTCATCGGTGACTACTTTCATAAATATTCCAGGTGACTCCATTTCTTCTACCATCAGTAGCCGTAACAAAACAGGGCTCATTATAATCACCAGCTCTGATCGTTCCAATGACAGAACTTGCTCAACGATAAATCGAGAACAACTTGTGTCAACGTTCGTGTCAATACAACGGCCGTAAAACAAAGCTGAAAATTTCAGTAAAGCATCCTCTTTATCAGTATGATATTTTATTTCTTCTTCTAATGGACTAATTAGTTGATCGGTTATCATTTTAAACGAGTTTGGGTGATCCAAGTATTCTGGAGCAAGAGCAATACCGATTTCGTTGAAAATATACAAAGCAGGCAAACTTTTTGGTAAAGGTGTTGGAGGTAGCAAGATCATTCTTGAGAAATCAACACATAAACGGAGGAAATGAAGTGCTGACGAATGCTCACTAATTTTGACCGCCAATGAAAGAAGCAAGTTGGCATTTCGTGTCCACGGCTCAAGGCCGCCATTCCTTTCTACAGTTTCTTTGGAAGGAAACATTTTCCAACAGAACATTGTTACTAAAGTGTCACCAAATTGTTCTGCGTTTTCATGAAGATCTTTTTTTTCTTCCACTGAATCTTCTGTGCTCTGACCAATTTCATCTTTACAGGATTCAGCATCAGCATTTGATGCATTGTTTTTTTCTGTTACATCATCATTCGCGTATTGATCTTCTGTAACGCGAGTTTCATTCTGATACTCAATCACATCATTTAGTTTGTGAAGCTCATGTTGCTCTATAGAATTTATCACTTCAGTATTTAGGATATCTATGCTGCCGAACAGTTCTGTGAAACCTGAAATAGCGTTTAGTCCAATAAACGGCCGAGAGCAATCAACCATCTTTAACAAATCAAGTATTTGTTCTCGATGAGCCCATGCAAAGATGTGAATCATTGTGAAGAATTCAGGCATATTTTTCAATGGCAAATTTTGCTTGAATTGTGAAACAAACATTGCTTTTAGTATCAACACACGCTGAGAACGACATACGGCTTGACTAAAGTCGGCAGTAATTATATCAAACAGATCTTTCATGTATAATTCGTGACAAGCAGGGGTAAAATAATGAAGGTCAGTTACTAGATTCATAATCATTTTAGAAAATCTTTCCAGTTGATCTTGCCGAACAAGTTGTTTTAATTGACCATTTTCGTCATAATTATCTTCATTTTCTTCTAGTTGGGCATAGTCTTCCATGAATACCTCTTTAACGTTGTTAACTTTTTTGATTACCACTTGGCTAAAAGGCAGGATAAGATCAAGGCTTGTGCTCTCAAGAACATACGATTCAGCTCCAAGGGGTTCTGGAATTTCTGTTATTCTAAAAATTTCGTTATTATTGATAAATTTACACCACAGATCTTCTAACATGGACATCAAAGTCCCATCATATTCCTCATTAAGATGAGGTGGCCAAGCATTCTCTTTTTCAAGGAAGTAAACGATTTTCGCTAACGGATTTCGAACTAACCGAGAAACAAACTGCTCCATTGCACAGTAAAGCGTGGATGAATTAACTAACGACTGACGATCACAAGCCACTCTTACTTGCCAACTTTCTTTTAAGAAAATATCTTCATTATGTTCCAGAGAATTCCCGTCAATTGATTTTAATATGAAATTTTCAATAACTTGCGAAACAGCTTCAGATTTGAAAAGATTTCTTGCAATGTGCAAAACAATCTCCAGAGGACGTTGGTTACCAGTATATTTAATGCAAGTAAAGCACCATAATAGATCATTTTGTGCTATCCTGCTAATAGGCCAAATAGATGATGTGAGAAGGCTCTGAACACTTAATCCACGTATTTCACTTAATGGAACAGGAGGGACCTCCAGGATGTCAAGGAATACTTGTCTCCAACCACAAAGAAAACTAAACTGCCATGGAACACTCTCTTCAGCTTCTCCACGTTGCACGTGCACTACGATGCAAACATGCTTATAGCTTTGCACATCTAACTCAGACAAACATTGCTTGTATGTGTTTCGCTTTTCTTCAATGATAGAACGGGCGAGAAGTAAATGTGTGCCGTCCAATTCTGGTTTACTTTGTAAAACTAACAACTCCTTATCAGGCGCATTCCAGAATTTGTCAATTCTCTCAGCCAGCTGTTTTTCGGACTTATATGCACTCAGTCGTTCGACCTGACTTCTTAAACTGTTTCCCAAACATTGACAAATGTCTGTATGAATATTGGAAAATGTCATGACCACAGTTTTAGAGCCAATATTGTCATCAATAAAGACAGATGAGTTTGCAACGTATTCCATAAACGCAGCAAAACCTTGGTGAACAGGCTTTGCGAAATATTCATCACTGATTTTTTGTACTTCAAGAGAATCCTCTTTTAAAAGAACGCACTTCTGCATGCGAAGTACACCATCAGGTGAAGCCACCCACATCAAATCATCTTTGCACTTTTTCAATATTTCTTCAGATTTTCCTAAGTTATCTGTGTTTTTGCTGTGTAATAAGACCAGAGATGGAAGTGAGTCATCATGAAAACCAATAAACATATCGGATTCACTAAAGTGTGGCTCTAAACCTTGTATAGTGGATATTCCTTTAACCCAACATCTAAGCTCGTAGATCAAATTCTGCTGGTCTTCAGTTAGGACGTCTTGAAAGCGCAAAAGTTGTTTTTCAAACCTATTTAGGAAAGGTGGATCGGAAAAGTCGACTTTATATTGATCAATGAGAACAATACATCGAAATCCATCATTTACTTGACACATAGGGTTGCTATATGCTCCAAGAGCAACACGACAGTTTTTTCTGTTCCCAACAATGGCGTAATTCTGATTTAGCATATCGTATAGACTTCCATAAATGCTTTCTAAGTCTCTCAATATCAAGATACAATCCCGCTCCATGCAAAGAATGATGCGACTTAAGATCCTATAGTTGTATTCTTCTGATAAATCTTCTTCAAAACGACTGCCATAAATCGTGATAATTTCCTTCTTTGTTGTGTCCAGACTTTGCTTTAGAATACCTAAGGCAGAATCTTTACTGGTTATGAGCATCAGGTGACGAGCATGTGGATCGTTAAGATTCGCTTGTATTAATTGTGTGACAGAAATAATTTTTTGATCACTTGATGTCATGTGCTTTTTTAATTTGTCCAGAAATATTTTTTGGATATTAGTTAGTTCACCTTGAAGTCCACCAAAATTACGCTGTAATGATATGTTAACTTGGTGAAAGCTATTACAACCAGCTAAGCTCTTAATTAATGAGTAGTAATCGCGAAGACCATGAAAATTGGCATGTTTTTGTTGAGCTTGATATTCGAAATATGATTCAGCCAAACACTGCAGTTCTTCTTTTCCCAGACTTTGGCTGTAATCACTACTCTCAGCATGATGAAGGGATTCCCCAGTCTCATATAAATCTTCTTTTGTTGGTTCTGGTCTGGACAAATGAATTGCTCTGTTCATCTTAGCGGCATCCAATGACCAATTTGAAATACCTACAACTGCAACATCAGGTAATTTTCCGTCTCCGGGCTCTAGTAGACTGTGTAAAACTTTTAGAGGGTTGTATTTGGAATTTTCCGCCAATCCAACTTCATCCAGTAAAACAACAGGCAAGACATTCCCATCTTTGTTGTGTGATTGATATTTTCTAGCTTTTTCAAACACTTTGATGATTCCTTCTGAAGTGGATGATTCTGAACCTTGATAGGAGACAACGTAAAGTTGTGGCAACTCTCTAAACAGAAGATCTCGTGAGTCGCGTCCACGTAAATTGCTTCTAATCAATTGAATCGACAAAGATTTGCTGCAACCAGGTTTTCCAACTACAAATATAGGGATGCGATTTAGTATGCACACCAACATAACAAAAACATTCTCTCGCAAAGCAGCATTTCTTGCTGTTCCTGGAGGAAGTTCCATCCTATCTAAATAATCTTCTTCTTCCATGCGTATAATTGCGGAAAAACGTCTGATTTTTCAGTGTATGACATTGCAATCCCGTTACCGCAAAACAAATCCATCATGTTTTTTCGATACTTCTGTCTTAGTTCAGCAGTCGGTAGTCTAGATAGATAACAATGCGCAAGAGCAAGAACAATACTCCTAGTCATCTCATTATGCGATGATGAAAGCATATGGTAAAGTCGAAGGTGATCAGGAATATCGTCTTTAGTATGATCTAGTTTTTGCGTTTTTTTGACATTTTCTCAAACCAGCTGATCAGGCAAATGCAACGATGCACGTCACGAAGACTGACGCAATATGGATTTTTTTCAGCTTCTCGAATAAATCTCTGTGATTCAGACAGCAAATGAAGAAGAACATTTTCCATTTCTTTTGGTAGGTGTCTTACCATTCTCTGAATATAATCTCGTTCATCATTGGGTGTAAGAGAACCATAATCCCAAACATAGTCAATCATAGCTTCAGGTAAAGGGTGGACGCGATACACAAGACCAGAATATTCATCAGTGACATTCTTGCCTTCCAAGCCAGCTGTTGTGATGTGTTCTATAGGACGCAACTTGTATGGGTTACAAGCTGCAAGGAAGACAAGACCTCTTGATAGTGGTTGGCCACGCAATGTATGATGACACATAATGTCGCTGATTAAACCTAAGTGATCACAAGTGTTTATTTCATCAAGGAAAATCCACATTTTTGATTGTTATCCTTTGCAAAGTTTTCTTTCTCTTCGATGAACTCAACAATATCTTCTTCTGATATTCCAGCATGAAAGTTAAACACATAAAAGTTCACTCCACATGTTCTTGCCAAATAGCGAACAAGGCTAGTTTTACCACAGCCAGTTTCTCCCATAATAATAACTGGAACATTTGCACGAACTCGTAGTACAATCAATATCATCTTAAGGACGTTATCTGGAGTCAGAACGTAACCAGGAAATAAATTATTTTGCTCTAACATTTTCATGCAAGCTATCTTTTCTAACTTTTCCTGCAGTTGCTGTTGCGTGAAAGACTTGAAGTCCTCAAGCTCTTTGTTTCCTTTTATATCTTGACTAATTAGCAACTTTTAACGTTTAAAGGAACACCATTTTTGTCACGATAAACTGCAGTTATTGCTTGAGAGGTGAGACCATGAAACACGACTAACAAGTGATTGCTATCTTCCCATTGTATCATACCTTTTACCCGTTCTACCATATCTTTAGCAGTTTTAGCAGGAGAAGTCACTGCCAAATCAAAAGCCTTTGCAGACTCATCTTCAGAAAGATTCCGTATCTCACTTGAACGAGAAGTTGTTAAAGCACGAGATGCAATTTCCTTTGTTACATTTAAGAGGGCATCAAAAAGAGTAGTGCGAACACCTTGAGCTTCATCATCCATCATAGATTTAAGATTTCCAATTTTGAAAAATGCGCTGTTTGAAAACTTTATTAGTTGATCAGCTAGAACTTTTAGAAAAGTGTGGAGGGTTGTAAAAGTGATATCGGCATCTGATGAAAAGTACGTGGCTAGAAGCTCTTGGCAACGATGTGCCGGTAACGGCTTCACTTTTTTCGGTCCACTGAAATTAACTTCCCTTGATTCAATACGAGCTTGATCAAAGAGATGTAAATACTGGCACACAACTTGCACATTGCTCGTAATTTCTGCGCTTACCAAAAGATTCTTGTAATTTTGCCACTCAAGATCTATGCGAGTGAAAAATTTTGACACAACAAATGACTCTCGCAGCCAATCTTTCAGCGAATTTGCTATTTCAATGTAAATGTGCGTTGTTGGTAGATGATAAAACTGATTACCACCTGAAACCATTCCTATCACAATAAGTTGGAATAAGAATGTATCCAACGATAATGGATTGCTTACCTCGCCAATGTCCAGGTGTAAACAATGATACTTCTTAAGTTTAAGCTTTTTCAAACGTTGCATAATTTTTTCTGGCTCAAATAGGCCGCTAATTGAGAAAGTGACGACATTCATTTTCTTATTCAGTACCTCACGTTTGATCCATTCTGTTTTACCAAGACCAGGAAGGGTGGAAGTTATCATTCTGACTTCGGGCCAGCTAGATCTTAGACGATTTGCAAGACCAAGATCACTCATACCAGAAATGTGGTGTGAATACTGGGAAAACTGTTCGACGATGTGGTGGTGGTCGCCACCACGGCAAATCAAAGCAAGTTGGTATTTTGCAGTTACATTGATATTTTCCAAGGTTTCGTATGATTTTTGCTTTTCTTTAATTGCAATAACCAGTTCAAATTGTAATTCATTGGGCAGCAATTCGACATTAGCAATACAAAACAAGCTTTTGCAATGAAGATTTTTGGACTGTGCAAAACATCGTTGGAGTAAAAGGTAAAGGTCCTCCCACGTCGTTTGAGAGCTGCAAAATATAATTTGATACGGTTCTGGAAAAGCTTTTGAGGTATTCTCGTAGAGTGTGAGAATTACGTTAGTCGTTAATGGGCTTTCTGGTTCTAAACTAGCAACAAAAATTTCGCCTGGAGTAACTATCGCATCTAATTTAACATATGATTGATTTTCATCTTCATTTGGCACCAGTCGGACGACGCGTTGTGAGTTACTGAAGATGTTTTCTAAAGCTTCGCCAACAGTCAGTAACAGTAACTCGGGACTTTTATTTGATCGTAATTTTTTCTTTTGTGATTGTCGATATGTATCTAGTTCTTGTCTAGTAATGAATTGGTCTACAAAGTGAATTAAGGAAAGAGCTTCATCACAATTATTATCGGTATCATTCATCAAGAAATCATAAAGTGTGCCCAATTGATCGGAACGGTAGTAGTTAAGAAAGTAAAACTTTTCACGAGCTTCTTTCAACATATTTTCCCAGTTTTGTAAGTCATGTAGCAAAATATCTCTGTCATTTTGGAGATCATCAGTCGTTTTTATCTTCTTCCAGAAATTTCGGTACTTAACGTAACCAGATGAAAGCAACTTCGACAGAAGAGTAGAAATTTCTGTGAGGAGATTGACTTGATTAATAAATTTTTCAAAATCGATATCCTCGCTGCTTTCATTAGAATGGCTTGATAAATGCTTGATGGCATTTTTGTGAGAACTAATTATAAGATGCGCACGGCTTCGTAAATCATGTAGATCCTCCAGTGAGTAATTGCACCTTTTCTCCCCACCACTTCCCTGAACCTCGTAACTCATCATTGCTCCATTTTTTTGCGAAATCCAATATTCTCCACTGTTGAGGCAATTATTTATGATTTCTTTGGTTATTTCCCCACGATTTGCAATACTCATATACAATCCACGAAGACTGTTGACGTTTGTACTGCACTGTTTAAGCTTTATGGCTATATCTTTATGGTCCAGGCAAGAGTCTTTTAGCATGTTTAGAAAAACATGAGGATTACATTTCTGTTGCTTTTTCTTTATAACCAAAGGTGCTAGAAATCCATGAATGTCAATTAGATCTGACACTGATGACTCGGATACATACTGGTCTGAATGTTCTTCAACGGCATCAATAAGAAAGCGAATATCTTCGTCAACGATTTCTTCTATAAAGGCAAGCAATTCACTAGATCTTGACAGCTCCTCAATCACACAATCCAGGTATTCTCCAGAGAAAGACGCCAGTATTTCCGTTACTTCTTTCATTAAATGGTGCAAAGATTCAAGCGTTAGCTCACTACTGTTCTCCAAAGTTGTCTCAAATTGAACAAGTGTCGAGATTGTTTCATTTGAAGCATCTGCGAACCCAAAGATTTTGAATATGCCAATGACTTGTCGTACTTTTTTTAAGACTTTGGGATACTTCACATAGTCTTGGATGTAAATTCTAACCAAAGGTGAAAATTTTCGCCGAAAATAACTTTCTAGCAATTCAAGCTCTCCTACAAGCTTATCTTGATCCTTTAAATTACCAAGTATGGTTTTCATTGTCGGCAGACTTAATAAACTTGGGTCCTTCAACACTGGATTCCATTGGGCCTGAAGTTCCTCAATTACTTTGGTCGTAAGGAACGTCATCAATGAATAAAAATCGCTTACGGCTTTATTGCTTGTTCCTTCATCTTCAAATTTCCCATGTTCATCGGTATCCGAATTACTTAAGTCTTTCAAGCTTTTTCTAGCCAAGTTCGTAAAGGAAAGTGAATTTATTAAAGGTTTCAGTGCTTCAGCAGGGTTTAAAAAAGGAAATAATGTTCCCCAAAACTCATCACTCTTCAATTCACATACTCTTCTTCTTTTCCATGTATCTTTTAGATCATTGAATGACTCGATGATCGTGTTGATACCATGAACAGGATAAATATCACTTGATATTTTTTTCCCGTAATTGATTGCTGACTCCAGCAACTGAATCTTTGAGACACAATCTTCCTCAACATGAACTAATTTTGAGATTTGAGTTAAAACTTGCTCTTCAATATTTGCCACGTCACTTTTTGGCACGGTCTTACTTATCACATTTGCGCATAAGGAAGAAACCTTTATCTTTTCTTTGTTCACCATCGTCAACAAACTTAAGGATACGTTGCTTTCTTTAATGCACCTTTCTAGCTCCTCAATAACTTTTACCACAGCTTGATATTTTTCATATTTTTCAATTGTTCCTTTAAAAAAATTAAAAAGTTTTCACGTTAAATTAAATTTAAAATGTGGTAGCTTAAACTCTTTGATAATTAAAAATTATTTCTTGCCTTGCGTTTTAAGTAAAATAATCCAAACATCGCACCACTCAAGAATCTTCGTGAGACTTTTTTCACAAATAATGTTGTCTTTGGTAACTACAGGTCCATCTATAATGTCCAGGATACACACTAATAGTTCCTTCCCTAGACTGAAAAAGGAAACTGGTTTAGCACACAAAACGAAAAAAATGCACCATGCTCTTGACAAATTGTCTAACAGGACACAAAATGGAGGGAAATAAACAGGCTGAGTTAAAGAAATATGTGTTTGTATCAAAAGTTTTTTTAAACAAAAAAACAAAAACAAATTGTATTAAACGGTCGACATTGGCGATTTCCCGTTAGACCGCTTAATATTCAGATCTTCATGATTCATGAAAATCACCCGACGGGCTACGTGTAATATATTTAATACATACAACCAACATTTCACCAAATAGTATTATTCCTCGACATACATGCAAAATAACCCATAAAAACTTATAAAGCGATATTTTTTTAGAAAATTCAGAGTATATATAAAAATATCACTGCTAAAACTTCCGAGAAATAATCAAACGTAATGTGTGTCAAAAGAGGAGTTGATCACGGTTAGAATTGCAGTGCGATTATGAATAATTGAGCATCACTGCATAGTTGAAGAAAAATTCAAGTCGCCGGCAAATACTTCCACACCTGAAAATACTGTTGACACTTTGACATGTTTCAAAATAATTATTGATTAATACATTTTATTATGTGGTGTATTTATTTAACCTTAAGACATTGTAAATGTGATGACTGCGTATTGAGGTGACCGTTTAATAAAGATCACGTTAATACTATTTATATTATGAAATTTTCGGAACTTTGCCAAAAGATTGCTAACTCAGGGTGACCAGTAAAACGATGCCACTCAATATGTTTTTGAAGGGTTTGAGAATCAGAGTTCCAACAAATTTGGTGTGATATAGTCATGGCTTAGGCGCAGTTGTTAAAAATGTAGTGAAGTTTCGTTAGGGTTGACCAACAAAATTTTTGCCAACATTTCTCTGATTGCACAAAACAAAATTTGCACAAAACAGTGATTTGACTAGCATGCAAATATATTCCTGGTAAAAAGGTACATTTGATGTGCAGAATGCAGCCGTGTTTGACGTCCCACAATGCAGTGTCAATGATAGATAATTTACACTTTTTAATATAGGTCAAGTTTCATATTACGCTTACTCGTGCTCTCATTCAAGTTATGTAGAGAAAAACACAATAGTTTCAAAAAATATAGGAAAACTGTGAAACAATGTACAGACATTTCAATTATTTTTTTTGAGGTAGAGAGAAATATTAAAGCCATGATGTGCTACGATATCACAAATAAACAAGGCACCTATTTTTCTGTCTTATGGCTCACTAGAGGTTTAACGACCTTTATACAAGGGTATAAGTAGTCTTTATGGTTTACTAAGCTATAGTATCACAATCCACTACCATTTGACCACAGGTTTAGCCACTTTCCGATAGTTATTTATGCTTTTTTTTCATTTTTTGTACAAGTAAAGTCGCCGAATGAAAACTTTAATTATGAGTTTCGTTGTCTCTTCAGTCAGTCACAACTCACAATTGACAAAATAATAAACAATCGTGCAATTGTCTGTTGACTCTCAAACTACACGGCATGCACTTGAATTATGAAGCAAATTAATACTATCCCAATGGATGAGAATAGAACATGTTTAATTTTACTGCGAGTGTAGTGCGCATATGTAGTCCCAGACTAATTCGTTTGCATAGAATATGATAATTTCGAATAAACAAAAACATACATACCTGCTATTTGAGAATTGACCTAGAAACTTGCTTGATCTCTTTACCACCACTGGCGTCTGTTTCAATATTTCTCTTATACAGGATTTGTAGCACTTCTGAACATCAGGTATACATTTCTCTAAACTGGCAAAAGCTTTTAGAAACAAAATGGGTTCTTCATTTTTTAAAATTCTTTCCAGAACAGAAGTGAAGACCTCTTCAACGAGAGGTACATTTGTGCTATTTAAGGAGCATTGCATAATGGCATTGATTTCTTCAAAAACTAATTCAATTTTTTCTGAACTGTTGACTCTTCTTTCAAACATCGTGTTTGCTACTTTTGTTACGACCCAAGAATTACATATTTCAACTTTCTTTGAAAGTCCCATTTCATGCCAATTCTTCTCAAAACGTTTGTCTTCTAGAATTTCAAGCATCACAATATGACGAGAAACTGAATTTGACTTAGATAGCTTCATAAGTAACCCAAAGATTCGATCTATGGCCAGAACGTTATCCGAGATACATTCGACAAATATTTTCACGTGTCTTTCATCTAACTTATCATCTGATGTTGCGCATTCAAGCAACATTGGATACATGAATTTGTTCATATTAAGATGGAACATCTTTAGAATTTTAAAAAATTCAACCAACTTTTTACCAGTTTCTTTATGCATGCTAGAGCTTTGCTGCCTATCTCGGTAAAACTGGACCAAGAATTCCCCCATTTCATCGTCCCTTGCAAAGAATACACGAACACAAGGAGCATGAAATACATCTAACGCATCTTCCAAAATTGGAGCGCTTTTCAGAACCAAATGCAGCAATCTTTGATGTGCAATCTGATCTTCAATAGTTTTCACTTCTTTTATATTTGAAAAGAGGGATTTAACCCATTTCTGGTATTCTCCTGCACCTGTATATCTGTGGTTGAGACAAGTAGCGTGTTCTTTATCAAGCAAAAATTTTATTCCGAGATATGGATAAAAATATGCTGCAAGTGTAAGCCAACCAGGACTGTTACTTTTGCTCACCAACAAAATTGCTACTTTTTTTAAAATCTTTAGATTCGATTTTGAATAAAGATTTGGGTTGCTAGATACCTTAAAACACTCTAGCAAATTGTCACATGCTTTAGCGGTCTGGTAATCACTCGGAATGATTAAGTACTCAGAATTCTCTTTAATAAGACCCAGAACAATGCAAAGGTACCAGTACTGAGCATGTAAAATACAATTGCCAGCAGCTTGTTCTATAATCCAATTAACCATAAATTTGGCGTCATTGAGCGTTAAAGATCTAAAGTTCAATTTTTCTATTTGGCTAATAAATTCAGAATTTGAGTTAACAACTGATCTAAACATCCACTGCACATAAAAAACAACTGACTGTGGATAGGTTTCATGCCAATATTTTCTATCATCAGGGAAATGAAAAACATCAAGCTGTACTTCCGATGTTACCCGCCTATTCGAACGTTCTTCACAAAAATATGGGTCCTTGCTAAGAAGTCCAATGCGATTTCCAAATAGATTAACGTCATGACCCTTGCTATGAATAACGTATTTGTATTTTACACTGCCTATCAAATCAGCACGCAACGTATTTGTACATCTCCACAATTTATCGATATTGAAAACTTTTTGAAGAGGTGAACTTTCTCCAAAATCAAAATTAACATATGCTTCGTCAAAACAACAGTTTCCAAGCACCAGAAGATAAAAATCCACCTAAAGGAAAGAAAGGCAGGTGTTGTGGTCAACTATGAAAACTAGAAAATTTGGACGAAACGGCATCATACGATTAACTGAATGAGTGAGATAGATCATGGCAATATTCCTCATGGGAATGTTTCTCATGTGAATGTTGCTCATGGGAATGTTGCTCATAAAAATGTTGCTCATGGAATGTTGCTCGTGTGAATGTTGCTCATAAAAATGTTGCTCATAAAAATGCTGCTCATGGAATGTTGCTCATGGGAATGTTGCTCATAAGAATGTTGCTCATGGGAATGTTGCTCATTAGAATGTTGCTCATGTGAATGTTGGCCATGGGAATGTTGCTCATAAGAATGTTGCTAATGGGAATGCTGCTCATAGGAATGTTGCTCGTGGGAATGTTGCTCATTGGAATGTTGCATATGTGAATGATGCTCATGAGAATGTTGCTTATGGGAATGTTGCTCGTGGAATGTTACTCATGGAAATGTTGCTCATGGGAATGTTGCTCATGGGAATGTTGTTCATGGAATGTTGTTCATGGAATGTTGCTCATAAGAATGTTGCTCATGGGAATGCTGCTCATGGGAATGTGGGTCATGGGAATGTTGCTCATAAGAATGTTGCTCATGGGAATGTGTCTCATGGGAATGTTGCTCATGGGAATGTTGCTTATGGGAATGTTGCTCATGGGAATATTGCATATGTGAATGTTGCTCATGAGAATGTTGCTCATTGGAATGTTGCTCATGGGAATGCTGCTCATGGGAATGTTGTTCATGAGAATGTTGCTCATGGGAATGTTGCTCATGGGAATGTTGCTCATGGGAATGTTGCTCATGGGAATGCTGCTCATAGGAATGTTGCTCGTGGGAATGTTGCTCATTGGAATGTTGCATATGTGAATGATGCTCATGAGAATATTGCTTATGGGAATGTTGCTCATGGGAATGTTGCACATGTGAATGTTGCTCATGGGAATCGAACTCAAGATTTTTTGCGCCAATTAAAATGTATGTCAATAGTTAGCTATTATTATAAGTATACTTCAAAAGATTTCTAGAAACAACTTCAAGTTTCATGCAGTCCTTTAAACGTTATATAATACCTTATCTTCGCCATATATGTTTGTTAGAAAATTTATCTGGTGCACGGAATTAATATATAAATTGTTTATTAGTTTTTTTGTATTTGATTCGAAATATTATCTGCGATAACCCTTTACTTTCCAATTTTTTTGTCCATTGTGTTTTTGATGGTTTTCTTAATATTGCCATGCGACAAAGCTGGGAGACAGAAGGTTAAGCAATGTTTCATTTAATAAATGAAATTGGATGTGAGAAAAAGACCCCAAATTTCATGTACTTCGATGTTGCTGGTCACATGACCAAAATTTTACAATTCACTTATAATTTCGCTTATAATTTCCTGGAAAAATTTGAAACTGATGATGCCGAACCACAAAATTTTTTTAATACAAAATGCGTCAATGAATGCAAAACCATGCATTGTTGGGTATACTTATTCTCCAAACTAAATTATTTTTCCCTTATAAAAAAAGCGAATTTTTATGGCTCGTTGCAAACACTTTTTAAAATCTATATTTGGTTACTTATCTTAATGAATGTCATATTTTTTAATGCTTACAGGTGTCGCGCATTAGCTGAATTTATGCAAACACAACTATATAGCGAAAATAATTGTATCAAAACTGCAATGTCTTTGATTCATCTGTCGGACGGGTCGGTCATTTTGTTTTAAAAGTTTCCTAACTTGCGAAAATAGCTGACTTTTAAGACCATATATAAATAGATGTCCCACGAGATCGCATGCGTGACAAACATTACACACGAATTAAGGAATTGTGTTGCATTTTACATAAATTGATTAAGCAAAAACTTAAACAGATTTCTGGGCTACTTATGAATGAGGACACACTATGAGGGCTGGCTAAAATTTGCAGGTGAAAGTAATATATTTTTTAGCTGAAAACATTCGTGGCGGCAATCATAAGTGGCTTCAAATATAGTTTCAAATATAGTTTAAGGAAAATTTTAAATATTATAATTGTTCTATTGTTTAGAGATATTGTTTTGTCGCAAAAAGAAAACGAACTGGAATCAACATAGCACGACTAAATAAGTCGATTGGGCAAAGAAAAGAAGATTATTAGTAAAAAAAAGCATCTGAAGCACAGTTCTGCAGTTGTTACATAGTTCATTAATTATATTAGAGTTACTAAACCATTTACTTATTGCTTAAAATATTTAAATGTTTCAAGCAACAATATATCCATAATCTTTGCTTGAAGCAAACAATTCAAATAAGCTAAAACACAATGATATGCGTATTCACGTTTTTACCTGTTTTGTTGAAGGTTGTACTTGAGTAATGTTTGCTGTAACAACAGAGGAATAACTTCGCGGTGTGCAGTGGAGTTCAGCTACAGTTCTTTTTTCGGCATCAATTTGATGATAACTAGCTTCTGATGTTTGATTGTTTTCTTCGTGCGTTATTGGCTGCTTAATGTCAACGGACTCGTTTTTCTCTGGCAAATGTTTCTTAGGAGCAGAACTAGTTATGGTCTCCTCTCGACTTTCTTGGGTACTTTTCTCATGTCTATTATTACCATCTCTATGATTTGAATCCTTCGTTTCAGCCTCATCACTTTTATTTTGGATGATTTTTTTCTCGCGAGTTTTTGTAGATCCAACGTTTCCCTCCTGATCTGCAGTCACGACCTTCCCTTGTCCTCCATATCTTAGAGGATCGTCAGAATGCTCAGCCATACTGCCTAAAATTCACAAAATTGGTTGAACAACTACTTTTTTATATCAATTAATTTCTGCATAAGAAAGTTTTACACACTTATTTTCACGCCCTACAGTAAACACTGACAAAGCATAAAAACACATTTAGACAAGATCACTCTTCATGCGTATGGACATAACGTATTGTATAAGCGTATATATCTTGTGTCATATTTCTTTCAAAAGGGGAATTAAAATGAAAAAATCAATGTAAAACAAAATCTTGATTTTCGATTGCTTTTTTCTGCACGAGTTTGACTAGCTACAAATCAAATTAAGTAAAATTAAAAGTTGAATGTTGATATTACAGTTTCAGTTCATATTTATCAAGCCATTTTGTCATTTTTTTTTTAAGTGATTCGCTTATAGAACACGAGCTTTTGTAACCACTTTTTCACAAACTTGAAACAAGTAAATTTAACAAATTTATATTTAACCGTTTTCTGTTCAGTATCAAATACACGAGTATGACGTCAGTGATAAGAACAAAAAAATGACCGCGAGCCGCCAAATGACGTCATACCCGCGTATGTATAACTCATCAGACAGCTGTTTAATGTAATCAATTGGTTTTATGTAAAAAAACCGAAAAAATTCCCCCTTTTAACTGACAAACATGTTGTTCTTTTTTTCAAAATTGAGAAAGTCATTGGCTAACAGAATAGACAAGCACTGGATGACCATTTTTTGTTTAAATTGTGTTATCAAAGACGAAGTAGCTACAAATCAACGTTTGTATGAAAACCTTTTATTTTATTTTATTTTTTCTCAAATGCGTCAACTGCTTCAACTTGGTGTTCTTAATGTTTTTATTTGCTTATTCAGGGATAAATTCAGGTAAATATCGAAATTATTTCGCCTTTGATTTGTTAGTTAAATGCTTGAAAATTGTGTGACGTAAATTCCGTGCGTATGTTCTCTAATAGATCATAGCTCTCGACCAATGCAATTGAACAAATTCAACACAACGCAAATCATATTGGCCAACATGACAAAATTAATTTTAATCAAGCCAATTGTATTACAACAGTTTTTTGGATAAAAATTAATCCACGAGGAGTTAAATTTGTCATGGTATTTGTTGTATTACATCAATAAAGTCGCATTGTGCAGATACGCAACAGCTCCTAATCCACGATTCTGCTTTTAAAATTAAAAACATAGTTGGTACTGTTTTGTACAATAAACTGCAAACTCATAACCAGTCGCAATTTGGGTGCAGCAATATCAACCACGACATCTCTTTGAACTAATTAAAAATATAAACTGCCATAAAGTGCATTACTTGTCTAAATTTTTTCATAACCATCAAAATTTCAAAAATGAAAACTTGTTTCCCTTGTTTAGATCAAACACTTCGGTTTTGCACAATACACGGTAATTAATAACTAGGTTTTCTAACTTCAATTATACAATGGCCAATATATCTTATGTTCTGATCTTTTATAATTTTGCATTTAAGTACATTCATAAACTGCAAAGCAATCATTAAAACTTGCGTTATAATTAAAGCAGTATATGCTTTTCTCAACACACAGCATCATTTAGCAATCAATCTTGGCATAAAATATGTTTTTATTGAAAATCATAACTTAACTTCTATAAAATAATTGCACAATTTTGCTAACTGTATAACTGGGTGCTTTAAACACTTTATGAGTAAAACATATGGACTTTATGCTTTAGCTCCCATGAGGTTTGAGACTGGTTATCAGGAGATTTTAATGTTAATCATTAGTGTTTCTAACAAAGCATTCAAAGAATACCAGGAATGCATATTAAATATAATTTTGAGAATATATGTTATAATATAAAGACAATTATTTGCTGTTTCTCCCAGAGTCACATGGCATTTAAGGCAACGTAGGGCTTGTTAACAGGGGATATTCATTAATTGTCTATTAAACCCAATTGATTTCCTCTTTTATATCAATCATCTTGTTCTTCTAGTACTATATAAATTGATTTTAAAGGCAAAGCCAAATGATTAAAATCATTTTAAAAAATAAGAAAAAATAAATTATTTTTGACCTTATTTTACTGGCAGAATTAATCTAAGATAACAGGAACTAATCATGAGCGTTTTAAAAGAATGCTAGTTAAAATGATAGAAAATGAAGCAAAATTCAAATGTAAATCAGAAACATTTGTTAAAGATAACAAATAAATAATTGTTCAAAGAAAGAAAAAATAGAGTTTACATATCTAAATTTGAAATAGTTAAAAATTTTTATTATTTATTAGCTTATAATTTGATTTTGAGAATGAGGATCTTTAAGAAGAATAAGGGAAATTACTGTAATGGAACCTGCATAAGAATTAAAAATTGGTTGTAATAAGTAATAATTCTAGGGTTTGTCTCAAAATAGATGTTTATCAAGATTTTAATGCTTGTCCTTATTAAAAAGATTATTACATTTACTTATTGGTTATCCTCTATTTTGTTGATGTCTTTAAGGTCTTATGTTTTTTCACTATTGTAAATTCTATGTTGCAAACTTATGGAAAAATTAAAAATACTCTTAATTGCGCAATCTTCAAAGACGAGATGGTGTATAGAAGTGAATCAAATGAATATGGAATTTTTGAAGAATACAAAATGTTAACATAGCAAATTGACAACAATTCAATAATACCAAGAATTGCCTATAAAAATTCAAGTGGTTTGTTTTGCATAGTTTATGAGGTTTTTTCATGTTGACCAAATTGACAGTACACATCAGAGAAAATCATAATATGATGGCAATGATTGGACTATTATCACTGAAGAATATACACTGAATTTATTGAATGATCAGTAGATGCGCTTGTTAAGTTTGCAAGACCATTGGCTAATCACGAGGAGTCACAAAGTCTAATAAAATATCAAGGAAACTATTCGTGATGGATGATTTATACCATTACATTTGCCAACTTATCTCTACTTCAGTAATTTTATACCTCTTATTAATTAGCTAGACTGCAGGGTTTCTTAACCTGGGGTCCATGAACCCCTATAAACCATGATGGTGCTTTAAAAGGTCCGAAATCTCAAATAAGTTGTATGTCACAGTATAACTTAGATCTTTGTTACTGTAAATTAAAAAGCAATAAAACAGTCAGGACGTCGAAACAACCTTCAAAAGCATTGATTTAAAAGTTATTTGCGTTCTACTTATTGGTTACTGCACTGTATTTTTGATTCTTTATGGTTTTGTAATTGTTGTATAACTTAATTGACTGAAAGGTGAAATGGATCATTCATTATTAACCGTTGAATTATTAATTTGCTTCTTTTTGGTCTGCCAATTTCTGGACTATATTACTAAGTTAATTAAAAGCTAATTTTGACAATTGCGATGTAAGTTTCTTGTTAAGGGGTCCAAAGCTTTCATGTAGAATGTTTTGGGGTCCGTGACCAAAAAAGGTTAAGAACCCTGTAGAGAAAAGTCTTCAATAATAACTAAAAGCAGCATATTTAAATCCATATAGTTTCCTATTACCTAGTTTAAAGGTGGCCCTTTCACAATTCCACTCCCAATGTATAATAGCGTATTCTGCAATAGTTGGCCTAAATTTGCCTAGTAAACATCATATTGTAGTGTGGATCTTAAACTAGACATGTTTAGTCCAGTTTAAAGAAATTTTCAAACAATTCAATCAACAAACCCAATGACATGCGTATTCAATTACCTGATATTGAAGGTTGTACTTGAGTAATGCGGCTGTGCAGAGCAATAACTTCGCGGTGTGTAGTAAAACCAGCTTCTGCTCTTTTATCAATTTGATGATAACTATCTGATGTTTGCTTCGTGCATTATTAATGCATTACACGTTTTTCTCTAAAATGTTTATTAAATTTAATAGTTATGTTATCTCTCGAATGTAAAGGATGTTCGATGTGAACGATCTACAAATTTATTTAGTCAAAACATTCTTTACAGATGATTTCTTTCTCATTTTTGTAATCCAACGTTTACTGATTGCATTCACGAATTGCTTTCCTCCATATCTTAAGGATTCAGAATGCTCAAACATACTGCCTAAAATTGATAAAATTGTTCCTTTTTTATATCAATTAATTTTGCTTCTTTTACACACTTATTTTACGCCCTACAAACTGACAAAGCATAAAACACATTTAGACAAGGTCACTTGCATGCGTATGGACAAACGTATGTTCATCTAAATATAGTTGTCATAATCAGGCCCACTGTAACAATGTAATGTTTAGTTGCGTTTTCTGCAATAGTTTGACTAGCTACCGATCAAATTAAGTAAAATTAATAGTTGAATGTTGATTTACCTTAGTTCACACGCCAAACACGTTCACTAGTTTTCAAGTGATTTGCTTAAAGAACACGAGCTTTTGTAACCCAGATCTTTTTTCAAACTTGAAACAAGTAAATTTAACTTATATTTAACCGTTTTTGGTCAGTAAAAATACAAGTATGACGTCAGTGATAAGAATAGACGCTCGTCATATGCGTATGTATAACTCATCAGACAGCTGTTTAATGTAATCAATTGGTTTTTAAAAACCGAAAAAATTCCCATTTTAACAGAAAACAAGTTGCTCTTGTTTCAAAAATTGAAAGTCATTAGCTCAATAACAAGATCTTGACATTTTTCTTCATTCTATCAAGACGAAGTAGCTACAAAGCAACGTTTGCATGAAAACTATAACCTTCCACAAATGCAAACTGCTTCATAGTGTTTAATGTTTTTATCAGGGATAAATTCAGGTTTATATTGTAACTTTCGCCTTTAACTTCCCAGAAATACTTAAAATACTGTCGTAAATCCAAGTGTTCTTCATAGATCATTGCTTAATGAAATTGCTTAAATTCATGGCTTTTACAAAATATTTGTACGCACAAATATATTGCTTTAATATTTCTGAAAATATTTTTGTCAACAATATTTATTACATAATAAAATAGTTATTGTAGTGATATATTAAAAGGATTAAATTTGTCACAATTTGTTTTCTACGATAAACTGCAGGTAACACGAAGTTCGACAGATGACACACTCCATGAAAAATCTATGAACTGCTTTTCAAAATTCATAAAAACATTAGTTGGTACTGTGTACTTTTTCAAAACAATTGAAAACTGGTATCGTGTTATTTAATTCAATCACTTAAACCAAGCTCAACCAACGGTATTTGTTGCATATATAATTATCAATTATAAAATGCCAATAAAGTCATTACTTTCTCCTTTATAATTTCCTTACTGACTTTTTATAAACTGCATATAATCATTCAGTTGCTTGCATAAAATCATGATACGTGAATCAGACTAACATTTGACATCAAAATGATTCCGATAGCTTAAAATATCGACGTTAGTTTTGATTTAAAAGTTGTACATGAGAATCAATCAAAACACTTTTGCTAACTGAATTAACAGTTGCTTTTCCACATTATGAGTCAATGATAATGGCTTTATGTGTTTATCTCCCAATGTTCTGAAACTTGATTAACAGGACTTTTAATGTTTCTTTAGTCTGAGGAAAGCATAACAAGATATTTTGGCTTTGTTTTGATTAAAGCAGGTATATGCTTTTCTTAAACCAGATCATTAGCAATCAATCTATGGCTCCTTAACATGAAGTATTCTAAGTTTCTACTTCAATTAACTTCCTATTCTATGTAATCATTTGTTCTCTGTACTCTTAAATTGACGTTTCAAAGCAAAGCCAAGTGCTTGATTAAAATCATTTTAAAACACGAAAAAATAAATTATTTTGACCTTATTTTAGGACACTAATCTAAGATAACTGATCATGAGCAATTTAAAGAATGCTAAGGATGAAGGTTAGATAATGAATTTGAAAATGCAAATGTAATAAGCATATAAAAGTTGTTAAAGAGTTAAAGAAAGAAAGAAGAGTTAAATTCACAACTTTTTGAGAATATTAACATATTAATATAAATTCTGTTGCTGGTGAGATACCAAAACTCCATAGGCTTATAAACGGACATTTTGACAATTGAGGACTTTAAAGAAGAATAAAGTAATTGGTTTTTGGTGTAGTGCATAAGTTTATGCTGGTAGGTAGTTCAAAAGTGGGATGATATTCATTAATTAATGATATTCTTTAAACCCAACAAGATTATAACAGGATATGATATTGACCCTTCTTAATTGATGCATCATCTTTTCCCTGTTTATGACAATTTTAACAGCAAATTACTCACTATCTTCATTATTTTGGACAAGTCAGACAGTGGAATACAAAAGGAAGAATACTTAACAAGTGTTGTAATAAGACAAAATTGATCTTTCAAGAAAAAAAAATACAAGTGTTCTGTTTTGACTTCCCAAGATTCAAAAGTTATTTTGTATAGCACTATTCAATTTAATAAATGTGCAATTTCACAACATTGATGGCAATGTTCATCAAAATATACATGCATTTAGAACATGTACTCAGTGAAGAAGCTACTAGTTGACGCTTGTCATTTTACATGCACTCCTAGATTTACAGACGTCCATAGATGGAAAACTATTCATGGATGATTTATGCACTACATTTGCCAACTTATCTCTACTTTAGTAATTTTATACTCATTAATTAAGACAATATAATAAAAGCTAAACATAAAGTTTCTTATACTTGTTTAAGGGAAAATCAACCACTCTTAAATTCATCTAATGTTTAATAGCGATTCTAAAGTTGGCTAATTTTTCTAAAGTAAACATCAGATAGTACTTGTGTTCATGTAAATGAAGATTTCTGATAATAAGTACAAATGGCTAACAGTTTTGTGTCTCATCAATAATGAAAGAAAGAGGTTGATTTTGTAAAATATCAAGTTTTAGCTAAATAACCTCGATATGGTATTAGTTCATAAACGTTTCTTTTAAATATCGTGTTGAATAAATTTAATGTTATGTATCTCAAAATGTAAAGCAACGATGGGACTACAAACCTTATTTTCAAAACATCTTTACAGTGTATTTTCATGCTTCAATAACAGTATACTTTTTCGATTGCATAGCGAAAGCTAATTCAAACAAACCCATGTGATATAAATAATTTTGCTTTTATACGTAACTTTACTTTAACTTAGAAATGCTTCGCGGAAATCATTTAATTCATGTTCATTGCAAAAATGTTTCCATAAATATTATTCCGTCATATATTTCTTTAATATATTCTGAAAATATTTTGTCAACGCATAGTAAAATCAAGTTATTGTTGCATATAAAAGGATTTGGCTTGCAATTAACTTCACCTGTACGATTCCATGTCTATTATCAGATAATTATACTGAACACATCATTTCCTAGTATTTCGTATTTTCGCGGAAGCGAAACATACCGACTTTACACACATTGCAACTAGGGTAAACATAATTTCAGTATTTTTTAAACCGGACAGTGAATTAGCAGTTATGATTTGCCACCTTTGTCTCGAAGACAAATTGTCGGAAGAGTTTCCTTACAAACATCTTACTAAAGAATGCATTGAACATCCACTGCTACATTGTCTACGGGTAAGTACCTTTTGATGTAAAGTGTCTAATTGTGGAGGAATACACGCAGTGTCCTCGAAATCATAAAAAATATTAGAGATTTAACTTCAGCATCGGCTAAATATTAGCCATACAACTGTTAAGCAACTTTAAGCTTATAGGAAAGTAAATGATGTTCTTGTCTTAAACAAATTTCTTTACTTTTAAATTTCCATAAGCGTCCATGCATATTTTTTGACACTGATTTCTCTTGTAGTGTGTGACAGCTTCGGTGCAAAATCATAGTAAATGTTCACAATGTGATGTCCAAGTTACGAAAGACAATATGCACTACAAACAATACATCCAGGCATTAGATGTTCTTTTCCCCACCGTTAGTGCTGATGAAAACGTCAACACAGCCTTTCAGCCCTTGAACACAACTTGTGAATCAGAAGCCCATATTGTTGTAACCACACTTTCTGGGGAGTGCATGACTCTTTTATATAAACCTCGTCAGACCATTTTGAGTTTAAAAGGTATTGTTGAGAAAGAATTCAAAATTCCGTGCAACAGGCAATCCCTGTGTTATAACGAGATTGAGTTGAAGGTAATTTCCAATATATTTAATAGATTATTTAAATGCAAAGCCATGTCAGGCACGTGACAAGCTCTCCTTAGATATTACATTAAACGTGTACATTATTCGACAATAAAATATCACTCACTAGAAACATTGACATGATGGTATTTCAGTTTTCCCTTGAAACAATATTTTGGTAAATTTAAAAAAAAATTTCCTGCAAGCGCGCCAAGTCGCTAAACTTAATATAATGTTTCAAATACTTGGGATAAATCATCAAGAAATGCTTGTTTAGTTTCCCCTTTTCTCTCTTCATGATCTTTATAATTACTGAAAAAGCACGTTTCACTTTTTTACTTTCCAAAGCTAATCAATTTGAAATTGTGCTCAATGTTCCCTTTCGAAAACTGTTTTTCTTTTTAGCCAAGAGGAAAAAACGGAGAAATGCTCAAGTTAACAAACTACCATGTTCAACCGAACAGCACAATTTATCTGCTTGTTTTATTGTATGCAATCCCAGATGAATTGGATCATGTCATATTTGATTTATTTTGGGGATATCCAGCTAGTGGTCCTGATTACCTTGATGCTTCTGTGTTACTTTACAGTGGCTCAAAGTTTATAGAGGTGGTGGACTATGGTCACACAACAAGTCAGTCATGTCCAGCAGTCAAGCATTCTGGTGATGTAATGAATGATGCCCAGAGACAAGGCCATCACACCATAGATGTGTCCATCAAATCAATACCATTTCATGTTAACAAGCTTGTATTTACTTTGAGTGCATGGAACTCGCCAAATATCTCGAAGTATCCAAATCCAAGCCTTCGTTTTTATGATGCAAAGTTTCCAAACAAACAGCTTTGTGACGACAAAATGAATAATGCTGCCTATTCTCAAGCCATCATTATGTGTTGTTTGACCAATAGAGGAAATGGATGGCAAGTTTATAGTTTAAAAAATCTCTCTGCTGGTAATGCTAAAAACTACGAGCCGTTGAAGAGCAAAATTGCAAACCTAATTGGAAAAGGGTATATATGAGATACTTTGTAAATCATTGAAGTCCTCTAAAATAATTAAAAAACGACAAATCTGTCAATTCCAACTAGAACATACCGTGCGCCTTTGTTTTAATTTATTATATATATATTATGCATTTACCTAAGCCAGGCAACTAACATCGTAGTTATGAACACATGCCTTTATATAAAGTAATAATGTCGCGAAAATTGTTGTGAAAATGTGTTTGTGTGCGCATAACTTTATGTGCATAAAGATAAGAAACATTTAGAAAAATTCGCCGTATATACAAAGTTTGCAGAGTACACTTCAAATCGTTTTGCAAATCTTTTCTTCCCTAAAGTGAAAACGCTGGTAGTTATTTTTACATATCTTCATCAACATCATGAAAAGTTCCCACTACTATATACCACGTAAGCCCACGACCTTCAAAACTGTATATGTGATTAATTGATATTCCTTTTGAATATATCTTCAGAAGACTCCCTATTTTTAGATTGTTTTTGTATCGGAACCTCGTTCTGACTAGAGCTTTTATCGTCGTCAACATGCTTGGAATCATTTGTGTTTTCAAGGGTTCACGAGTCCTCATGCAAAATTCTCGAGCGTACTTTAGGTGCTTCTACTAGGTTTCATTTCATAAAGCTATCTTCAACATGGCGTCTTTTTTTCTCCTCTCTCATGCTTGATTTTGTTTTACCATTGAAAGTTTTATTTTCAAGTGTTTCGTCTACATCAATCCACGAATTATAATACATTTTATAAATATTGGAGCATAGTTTATGCACAAAATATGCAGACACAAAGTTATAGAGAGAATAAAAACACATCTAACATTGTTACGAATAGTACGAGTGGCATAACAAAGTGATGATGAACTTGGTATGCATTTGTCAACACAAGCCTAAGAAGGCAAAGAGCGTGCTAAAAATATATTATTGAAAAATTTCTAAGCGCTTATACAAGCAGCAATTTCAGAGCTCGCTCGGTCAAAAATTAATGAAGAACGACCAACTGTATGTACTAGTATTGATTATACAATAATTAGCTCACTCAGTCGCAAAGTTTCGGATAAATCATCTTCGCATGCGCATTTGATTTATTAAAGCATGCGCAGTTGAATTCCCAAGGTCATGGTAATGGAAACGACCAATTATATCTCCTAGAATCGGTTTTGAAGTAAATAACATGCTTATTAACAATTTATAAGAGAAATCATCTGCGCATGCGCTAGATCGTGCGCGTTACTCTCGATTAATTGTTCATAGTGATAGCAATGAGTAACTATATGTAGTTGCACTACATTTGTGGCAATTAGCTCACTTAGTCGCAAATTATCGAAGAAATCATCTGGGCACGATTGAACCATTATATTATAAAATTTTGAACCATTATGTTATAAAATGTTTTTAAATTTTTATTCATTTGGGATATGAAATTTCTTTTGACCTTATAATATTTTCATGATTTATACTAGGAAGTCACTTGACAATGATGGTTGTTAGTGATAAGTAATATATGGTTGGCAATAGCACAAGTTCAGGCATATGAACTAAAACAACTCACCAAATTCGTTCATATAACATACATGGTGCGTATAATTTTGCTCTTATACTGAAAGTATTTTCGAGATCCTCGCATTTTTGTTATGCTATTATCGCTAATTGCTTCCAGCGTGTCATCACACTATTCTTGGCATGCCTCTGCCCAGTCCTTCGCCTGAACTATATAGAGGTGAAATCTCGATTCTTGGATGTCTGACGATATCATTTTCTAGGAGGTATTTTTACGGTTTAATTGGGAGCGCCCAATCACAACAAAGTACGTAGAACCTTTTGTAACGTCTGTTTAATTTTTGTGGGTAGCCGATGCGCATGCGCAGTTTGTCTGTTGTTAACCTCGGAGATATTCGGTCTTAGGAGTTATGACGAAGATGGCCGTTTAGTGTGTTCGTTACTTCTTCGGGAAATATCGCAATGTTGTTTTCCTTAAATTTTCTTTTCGTTCTGTCGAATTACTCAGAGCAAATTTGGAGTGTGGGAAACCTAAATGTGCCTTAAATTTGGGGGAGTTTAGGGAATAAGGGAATTTTTTCGTTAAGCTGTTAAGTTTGCTCATTTCTTTGCTTATTGATCGAATGTTTACGGTGAAATTGTAATGTGTGTAACGTCAATATGACAATGATTACAAGCGCATATATATTTGAACTGTGAAGCGTCTGTCTGCGTACAAAGATCAAGCAGAAACTATATGCAATAAGTAAAGAATCGTCGGTGACATTATCCTGTGAAAATGTTGCTATTCTGAGAAATATCTAGAAACATTACTACTCAAAAATTTGACTTGTATTACATTGCCTGTTGTTTTCTATTAAATCAAGCGTAACAAAATATGAGCTCAATTCGTTGATTATATAAACAAAATTTCTCACTTTTCACAAACTTTCATAAAATGGTAACTTCTAAAAGTCAAAATATTATTCAAAAGCAGGTTGGCTTAAAAAGTGGAAACTCATGTGTATAATACAATCTACTGTCTGGTAATACGTCCAATTTGGTATTATTTGTATTGCTTATACATCGCTCGATTTACTCACTTAGCCATATGTGTCAAACTATAAAGTCCATGAACAGGAAAAAGAAAGTATTTTCGATCACTTGCAATCATGGAGCGAAGCGCTTACTATCAAACATTGTTTGCAATAAACACAAAATCTTTGCAAATAAATATATTTTTCAAGACGTGATTAGAAAAAAGTAACAAAAAACACGACCCATTAGCTCAAAACACAATTAATTCCCTATATAATTATGTTGAATAACGTGTCAAAAGCAAGTCGTGGTTACCGTAATTGTTTGAACAAGCACCGCCCCAACGCGTGGTGAGAAAAATTAAATTAGCACCGCTGCTGAAACTGCCGACCCGACTGGTAGAATGAGTGTGTTATAAGTTAAGAAGAGAGTGGTAACTCTTTGCTAGCAAAGTCTTTTTCAAAGGCTTTTCTTCTTACTATTTTCTTAACTTATAACACACTCATTCTACCAGTCGGGTCAAGCTTCAATTCATCCTTTGAAATACTACACCTCTTCCAACTCTGCCTTTGTAAATGTCACACTATTTAATTTCTATTGCTTATTTCTAAGGAGGAGCAACACTTCCCTTTGCGATAGTAACTTCTAGTTTAACATTTTTTCCTCAGCAGATACCATGTAAAATCGACAAACTTATATGTTCAAATTGCAAATTGCACCGTTATTATAGCTCAAAAATAAAATACTACTATATTATTTAAAACAAGTAGATTCCAGATTGCAGGATTCCAAGACTCCAGATTCCAGGATTCCAAGAGTTCGGACTCCAGACCCATGTTTTACAACTTACCATAGTGAATTAGCGATGACGGCTCTCATAATATGACGGTATTGTTATGATTGAGCGTTAATACAAGAACAGTCATCAAGTTGTCAAGTTTACACCTTTTCAAATTTTCGAAGCTTGTTTACGACCTCAAATATAAATTAGGCTCGAGAATAAGGAGTTTGAAAGTGTTTGAATACCTGCTGTGGCGGTAATTGATCGTTTCAGAGGTAAGTTCAATTTTAAACATCCTGTTTATCTAGAATGTCATACTTAACTTGTTCCTACACTGTGTCACAAGTCGCTTTATACCTGACGGTTCAGGTGATTGTTGTAAGTTCTAACGACAGCCTTGAGTAAAAACATTTATAAATAAGACGTACATAAAGCCAAAGATACTGAAATCGTTGTCCAAAGACGCCTTCATCAAACATATTATTAATACGCACGAAAATCAGGAATGTGTAGATTCGAGATTTTATTTTGCAGGACATTTATCATAATAGATACTTTACTTGCGGGACATTTATCATAACAGATACTCTTACTTTTATACAATGATTGGGGGATATTGTTTTATAGGATTGTCTCATTAAACACAAATCGCTATTGCTTGTTGATAATTGTTATAACATGTAACACTATAAATATATATACAAAGAAGTTAGTAATAGTTATAAAGTAATATGATACAATATACATGTTAGTTGTTGTGTTTTGTTAAAAGAATTTCCTATTTTTTCTGTAAGAATTTCATATTGTGCTTGATTAACCAAAGCAGCCAATAATTCAAAACCACTTCCAACACAGTAAAAAATTATTTTAAGAACACACTATGTATAACCTGACTATTATGTCATTACTTCATTTCCCCTTCTCTATTTATGTATTTATTGTGTTACATCCCCTTAAACTCTTTTATAACTAGTCGAAGGCTGTAGACTGATAGACTGAAGTTCACGAAACAACTCCTTATTAGCACATGTGAATATTTTCCTACACAATTCTGCATTTGTTAATTATTATAACTAGCCTAGAAATTGCAGACATCTTATTCATCTTTTTGCAATAGAACAAATTCATTGTGATTGCTTTACAGATTCAACAATCCTTAAACATCTTAAAAAACATAAATTGCTTGTACACATACTTTCCTGGATTAATTTAAATGTTTCATTAATTTGTAGACATACAAATATAATGAAAATTTGTTTAGTTCATATATGAATTATTGTTCAAAAAACATCTCTGTGACATATGTCTATTGTTCATGGCAACATCTGTACACATGTGAATTACATTCATATTTTTATACCTATGTGTTATCTTGTCTTCATAACATTATAAATGTGCAAAAACTATATTTAAAGTTATCAAACTGCATCATGTTGAACAAGAAATAAACATGTTTATTCTTATGTAACGATCATAAACCAACTTTTATTAAATGAGTTAATCCAAGCAAAATGCCAAGCTTCAGTAAATTGTCTTGGATAAGTAATTATACACTTTATTGCTGGACAAGTAATTATACTCTTTATTTACTAGAAGAAATCTCCATTGTTTTGGGGTAAAATGACTATGATGGTCAATAAGACATACATGCCTAATCTTCATTGTGGACTAAATATTTTATTGAAATATTCCCAATAGGTTATTTTTTGTTGAAATATTCTGGATAATTTATTTTTTTGTTAAAATTTTCTGTGTAGTAAAATTTCTCAGAACAGTGTTTTTCATCTTTCAAAACTCGACCATATTGCACGTGATTCTCTGTAGGAAATTTGCGACTCGGTACCCTCTTTCAAACTCAATACCCTTTTGGCTGCAAGGGCTTTCCATATTAAATGATGCTAAAATGTGTTAATGTTGGCAAATACCTAATCTAAGGAACCCCCCCCCCCATTTGGCGCTGTTCCTTTTGCTAATTTTGTACATCCTCAATTTGTTTCTCTTATGAACGCCCTAAAAGGCAACATTTTGATAGCTATATTATTGGCCATTGCTCAAGGGTTTCAATATCTGGTCTTCCTTATAGAATTGAGGATTTTGCCTACTTTTCTATTGACCGTCTTAATCCTGTTTTATACGTGCATTTTACATGAGTCAAATGCATTCAAAATAAAAGATAATGAGGAATTTTATCTGATTTTCCTTTGTCGCTAATGCATTCGACGCATGTACAATAAGACGTATAAAACAGGCCTTATTCACATCACCATGACAAAAGTAAAACAGTTAAAGATCGCTTTCGCCACAAATACTGTGCATGAAAATTGTTGTACAGTCATGGAGTAAAAATCATATTGTCACAAACTGCTGATGCACTAAATTCTCTATTTTTTTTAGGTAAAACGAGATTGCTTTACAATGTGTCTTTCATAGGGTCATTGTAAATAAATCTTAAGACTTATGATTAACAAATGATGTATGTTGTTGGACAGTTCAACTATTGAGATTGTTTAATTTTTTTCAAATAGACATCAAACATGGAAAATGTAAGATTCGTTTCAAAAGAAGATATTGAAATGGCAACAAACGTACTGCCAGAAAGAAAGCCACGAGAGAAATTGACTGTCATAGGTACAGGAGACTTTGGTCGTGCACTAACAAAACGACTCTCAACGGCTGGTTATCACGTCGTTATGGGAAGTCGAAATCCTGAGAAATGTCGAGGGTTGTTGCATCTTTTACCGTTTAATATTGTATCCTTGAACGATGCTTTGGAACACTCTGACATCATTTTTCTTGCCATTCCTTTACATGGATATGACAGTTTATTGACATCATTGGGGAGCCAACTAAATGGTTTGTGTTTAGTTGGTTTTTTTTCAACTAAGAAATAAAAAGTTTAGATGAATTGCTGTTTTTAGGATATTTGAATAATGAGCCTAAAGATAGAGTTGCCTAGAAACCCTTAAATGTTCATGTCTTGTAACAGCCTTCCTTAACTGTCAATTTAAGGTAGACTATCTAAGACGTATTTGTAACACTTTGATTTTCAATACTGACAATAAAATCGGCTAAATTAAAACATATTTTCAAGATGAGCAGATCGACATATATAGACTTACTTAAAATTATTTTTTTTACATTTTAAGGCGATATATAAATCTCTTCAACTAATACCTTGTACATAAAAAGTTATTCACTACGTAATTAAATCAGTTGCATAAAGCTAAAATAAATATCTTATTGAAAATGCCAATTCTTATTTATTTGTCTTTTAAAGGAAAGATTGTTGTTGACGTAAGCAATCGTACCCAGACCTCTTTCAAAGAGCTATCTAATGCTGAGTACTTATCAAGTCTACTACCTAAAGCTCACGTTGTGAAAGGCTTCAATGTGATATCTGCATGGGCACTGGAACAAGATATTTATGGTGGAAGTCGGACTGTTTACATTTGCGGAGATAATGCTGAAGCAAAAGAAAAGGTCGGATGAACGTATAAATTTATCATTTTCAATTTTTAGCAAGTTGCTTTATTTTACATGTTTCGATTTTTTAATCACTATCTTTTGAGCAACTATGCGAAATAAGATTCTCTATAGCCAGGCCCCCAAACTACACATTAGCTGAACAGCGAAATTATTAATCATTTTACAAACTTTGAATGTTTTCGTTTTCCCAATAAAGTTAATTAGTACATCATAGTACTCGTACGGTACATGATGACAAGAATAATGACATCAAGTATCACCATAAATGCTGAAGGTCATAAATAATTTCGCGATCAGCTGACTTGTTATCCAGTCCAAATGTCTGCCACATAAAGCTGCCACTTTTTGCTGCAAAGATTGAGATCATTCATAGCTAACTGTAATGCTTAACGAGGCCGAGAGTAGAGAAATGATATGTGAGTTCGTATATACGATTGCATTGCTAACACTGACCTAAAACCCTCTGCGGTCAAATCTAAAAATTGTGATATGGCAGTTATCTTGTCAAACTAGTAAAGGACCTATTTAACAGTTTGTTTGCACTTAATTTCCTTGATGTAATCTCAACTCTTGTTTTGTAAAACGACCATCACGAATAACACGGTATATGTGCCATTTCCACAATCCTGGACAAATGTCCTTAAAAGAAGGCCTTCCTTGTATTCTAACTTCCAAAAACAAAAATAAATAATCTTTTTGAAGTTCTTAACGTGTTTAGAAGGTTAAATTTTAGGGGTGGTCAACGGAGAAAAGAATTGTATTAGTTTATTATTTACTGAGAAAATTACCATGCACCATCTCTGGTGAATTGTCAATTTAGCATGAATTAACAAATATTCTTAGGAGAAAAATGAAATGCATTTAAACTCGTATTCAGGTCCTTGACATAGCCCCTGCCCGGTCCGCCATTGTCGCTGAACAAATGCTTTGGCTCCTTGTCATTTGTAAAAACAATGATTTTTTGCGATGACTTTTTGCATTCAGCAATGCCTTTCAAAAATTTCACATCTTAGTTAATGACGATTCAACTCTGACAATCAGAATGTTATTTTTCCATCAAAATTAAAATGCTCATGAAGCATTTAAAAGTAGTCCATTTTATATGAAGTTAATGTGGAAAATTACTCAAATCATATATGACTCAAAGCAAAATGTTTTCTTTCTTTAGATTATGCAAATATCTCGAAGAATGCACTTTACACCCCTTGATCAAGGCTCACTTAAGGTCTCCCAAGCTATCGAGAAAAAGCCAATGGAGCTATTTCCTAGTTGGCGTCCAGCAATGGTTATTTTTGGATTTTTGTACTTCGTTATGTGGTTTTTCTTCATTCTTATGTATCTAATTCGAAAGGTTCCGTTTACCAATTTTCCTCTGAGAGAGATCAGTATTATTAATGCATTCACTGTAGTTGGACTTTTGGATATGGTTTATCTCCCAGGATGCATTGCCGCCATTCTACATTTGGTATACGGTAAGACTTGACTTGAAAGATTTTGTATTTACATATTGCCATAAAGCAAACAGTAGTCAATAGCCATGGCTACAAAGTTAACGGAATACATTTGATTTACAGATGATCACTTTTATCATAAACTACGGTTTTTATTTTTGATTTTTGCACAAATCTCCATATTCTAGCGTATTTTTCTCGGGCATTATTGCAAACATTCATGTCTTTTATTTTGGGGTTCAACTACTGTTTTCACTGCATCGAAAACAGATGCACAAACTGAAAACAGTTTAGTATTAACTTCATGAATTTAAGATTTACGGCTTCTATTCTTTAAACACAAATGAATTTGTTCCCACGTGGAATTTCCTTTTCCAAGGTACCAAATATCGTCGTTTTCCAAAGTGGCTTGACATTTGGATGAAATCTCGTAAACAACTTGGCTTGCTGGCATTGTTACTGGCTGCAATGCATGCTTGTATGTCAACACTTTATTGGGGTCCTGAATATATATCTCGTCTTTATCAAGATAAATCTATTCACATCAACAACGTAACAATTTCCCTTTATGGAAGAATGACTGCACAAGGAGAAGCTTTCTTGACCCTTGGAGTCCTGGGACTGTCAGCGTTGTCTATTTTGGGTATCACGTCACTTCCTACTGTCCTCAATCGCATGAGTTGGAGAGAGTGGAATTTTGTTCAATCTGGTCTGGGTTACTTTTCTTTGATATTTTCTCTTCTTCATTTTACAGTGTACTACTACAAAACATATCATGCATGGGAAGCTGAGGTGTTTTATTATCCAACTGTGTGGGTTGTAATCATCGGCTTTGTCACTGTCATATTGAAGATTATTCTGCTCATTCCATGTTTGAATAGTCGGGTGAAGAAAGTCCGCTCGGGATGGGCTTACAAAACGTTACACGAAGCAATAATATAGAACTTACTTAATGCGAGAATAGTGAAAGAATAGTTGCATGTTATGCAATTGTCGAGCGTTAAATTCATCATATGATCATTTGATAGAAACTGTTAGCAATAAACATTGATTAAATTTCAAACATTATAGCACGTAAATTGTCGAAATAATGAGATGTTTTATTATATGAGAAGCGTCACTACCTGTTAAATGGCATGCTTTCATTGGCTCTGAAACATCTTTGCCAGTCCATTGCTTTCCCGTGATTGATCCCCGTCCAAAACGCGTAATATTACATTTAAATTTAAACAAATTTCGTAAAGCAAACTGCAAAACGCAAAATAAACAAAACAAAAATTTACGAATGTGATTCGAAGGAAAAACATTTGGAAAACAGTTTAACTATCCAGTCGATGAAATTTGAAACAGTAGAAACATTTTTTAAGAACAAAAACTGTTGAAAAGTGAAATCCAACCAGCAATAAACGAGAAAGAAAGCTGCTTCTTTACGACGGGGTTAAAGCTCATGGTGAAACATTTGTTCCAACAAACAGCATAGAAATAGGTGTTAGAAGGGGCATCTGGACATCGTCTTCCATGTAGCAGAGAGGTTTGTTGTTCAGTGTTATTTCAACATCCATTAAAATATCTTCTAGCTCGTTCCATCTAAGGCAACTTCTACTGATCTTTGTGTAGCGCTCTCTTGACTAATCCAATTAACCTCCAATTAGCCCCTGGCTGTGGTAAAACCTACATCGGCATGACACAAAGATGCCTGTCTGTACAGCTCAGAGAACATGCAACCAGACTCTCTTCTTGTGCAGTTGGCCAGCATTTCTCTTAGTGCGAAAACGCTCGATTCCTGGCGACTCTACAAAACAAGTTCTCACAACTCAATGATCTCACTCTACCTCCCAGAACTCCCTGTCCTATAGAAAACCTTGTATTTAACAACTATAAAATATTTCACTCAACCAAATCTAACAACTACCACATTCTTGCTTTTCTTGACGCAATTCTCATCAAACACAACAAACCTTTTCTCAACACGGGACTTATGGCTAGCAAAGAATTACAACTCGTCTTTAAATTACAATACACTCATTCTACCAGTCGGCTCGGCAGTTTCAATTCATCCTTTTGACCTCTTCTAACTCTGCCTTTGTAAATATCACACTATTTAAATTCTATTGCTTACTTCCGTTTATTTATTTCATGCGTTTTAAATATATAAGTGTATGTATGGTTTTAAATATTCTGTCTAAGGATGACTTTGAATTAAAGTCGAAAATTTACAGTTCACTTCTCGTCTTGTTTTTATGCATATTTTGCAATCTCAAGATGTCTTGCTTTTTCGGAATTTGCTTTATATTGTATGTGAACTTGCACTTTCTCACGATTATAAATTTGCTTTTCTCAAGCAACTAAGTGCTAATTACCATTAAAAGAGTTGTATCCAAGTAAATCTTGAATGGTTAGTGATGCTTGGTATTAATGAAAAGCTATGTTTTTGATAGTGATTAGTGTTTAACTTATGTATATTAATATTCCTTTTGGATATATAGAACAAACACACTTTGCCTATAAATAAGGATTTTACGCAACGATAATGAGGTATTTCTATTGCAACAGAGAAAGTGTATCTTATAGACCCTGGCTCTAAGGTCCCGTCCACACGTATACGGATTTTTGAGCGGGTTATCCGGAAACTTTGATTCCGCTCTTTAAAGTTTAACATTTTCTTATCCGCAAACAATTTCGATGCGTGTGGACGGTAAACTCGGATATTTTTTACCAAGATTGCCTAGCAACTATTTTAGCGCGTTTAAAATGTCGTCGAATTTGCTTCGGATCGATTCCAATCGACTTTCTACATAGCGTTGGATGTTTTAAATTCTAGTGTGACTTTCAGTAAGAGTTCAACCTCATCATCAGTCCAAATGAAGGAGTCCGTCTTGCTCTTTTCATTTTATTTCGATTTCTGTCACAATTATGACATATATATTCAAACAAAAGCCGAACAACGTTTGCAAACACCAACCGAATTCAAAATTGCTCACCAATTTACCGCAAATTTGCAACAATTTCAAAATATGTGCGGGGAACAAACAGCGAGAAGTCTTGGGAACTATAGTAAATCCGGATAATATCAAGCTATGTGTGGACGCAACAAAAACTTTACGGATATAAATATATCCGGACACGTGTGGACGGGGCTTAAGTGTAGTACAGTCATAACAAATATCAGTATTATTTCAAGATTTATTTGGATACAACTCATGCAATTATTAAGCATATTATTGCTAGGTAAAAGAAACTTGCCAATCGTGCGCAAAGAAAAGTGGAAGCCAGTTTAACTTATATAATCTATCCATAGCTTATGAATTATGATCCTAAACGAAATGTGTTTACAACTTGAAGTGGATGTACCGAGCAACGGCAATGTTCCCAAACCTTGCAACCAGTCTCTAAATATAGAATTTACATACTGTCCTATAAAATTATACTATTATTCTATTCACATACTCTGTTCATGCTACACACATACAATCCTTGTTGACTTAACTGGTCAGCCATCAAGGTCAGTTATTTTCGGACTTTGGGTATCAGCTTTGTCAAGTGCAAGTCATTTGAAAGTATATTTACTGTCTGTACGATTAACGATTATTCTCACACCCGTGTCTCGAGATCAGACTCGTGCATTGTTTTCATTAAAGACTTTTATAACATGCATTGTTTTTCAAAATCTTCTTGCATTCGCCCCCAAAACAACAAACTTGAGTGCACTCATGCATCTGTCAAAACCAGATGACGAAACGCGTGTTGACTAAAATATACAAAAAAAGTCTTTCACTCCTCCTTGTGAAGTTTTACTCCGAAGGTCCCTGGCTTGCGACCGGCATAGCTATTTACACAGATGAAAGGATTCGTATGTTGCTCTTATCATCTCAAAATTACTGCTCCAAGCTCGGGACTTGCGGAGTATAACTTTGCGAGGAGAAAGATTTTAAGGAGTATACTTTGTATGCGTCAATCACTTGTTGAGTGGGTTATAGAATGACAGCTTTTGTAGTTGAGACTGGGTTTTTTGTGTGTGATTTTGAATAAATAAAAAAAATGCGGTAGCATATGAAGATTTGCCAAATTACAAGTTCTAAAGGAATGAATAATTTGACAATGCTTATTTTCTCAAATGTACATGTAATGATTAAACTTTCGGGAAGCAAAGCCAATGAGTAAACATTTTAGATAGTTACTCTATTCAGCTGTGGTGATTCAAATGGAATTTATAGTTGCTAAATGAGGATTGATTTCTACTGGAAACCGCTGCATAGAAATATAAACATGAATTATTTCGAAATCAATTGCAAAATCTTTGTAATAGGTCACAGCAGGATAGCAAAATATTTGTATGACGCAGCAAAATTTCACAACACGATGCAATCATAATACTGCTTTTATACCTTGTTAAAGTTTGAATGCTACAAGGGTGTTTTCAATCTCATAAACTAGAAGCTGGTTTGGAAAGTGTCAAAACTGCTTGGATACCTGTTGTTATTCGTCGTATCCAAGGTAAATATGTCCTACATATTTCGAAACATTAAGTAATTGTTTTCTTACAATGCCTTTCAAGCTACTTAAGTCTTGTTGTACACTAAGGTAAAATAATGATTATAAGTTCAATACACAGCTTTCAGTAATTGCATTTAGAAACTATTAAAAAATATAGCTAAATACACTTACAAGACTGGTCGTCCCTTACAATCTTCCTTATTGATATTACGTGGTTGTCAATTATGTGAACACAGTATATTTGTTAAGAACGTTTTTAATCACAGTATGATTTCTATTAACAAATAGCAGCCAGTTTCAAATAGTGACAAACGGTGTGAAATGTCTATAAGGCCAAGTTTATACGTAAAATTTCGGTCAAATTTTGAAAAACCATACCGCTGCCATCGGTCGGGCTCTATCTTTAAAACTCTATAGATTTATTTATATAAACTTACTACCCTCCCTATGGCAGCGGAACTGCGCGATAGCTAAGCACAGAATACTGCCTATACTACATTAAATTCCTGTGCATGTCTTCTTCTTGTCCTTGCAGGTCTTAAATTACGATTTAATGCTCATTATAGATAACAATAAGTATGTCTTGTTACGTATAAGCCCCATATGGAAAAAAAACTTATTTCTTTCGAATGAACTTATAAAAGCAATACTCGACCAGACTAGGCAGATTTAAAGTTTAACAAATGCGATTGATAAAATTTTAGCGTTACATATAAGTCTTTCGTATGAGCTCCGAACGTGAGTTCAATATACTAGAACGCTATTAAATTTTGTGATTATTTTATTCACTAGCGAAGAAGTTATTTACAACAGTCGTGAGTGTTCTATCTTTTACAATTTATTTACAAGCTTTTTATATATTTGGCTAAACAAGGTGCAGTTATTACAAGGCGGATTGTGTACTTGAAATTTGAGTAGTTTTACGTAATTATAAAGTAAAGTGCGTAAGTTTAAGTAGCGCGTTTGAGTAAGTGTAGGATTGGCTATTTCCTCTATTGCTAATACACAAATCTAGATGAATAATATACGCACGTTATGTACGTCACTACAAAATATCGCTTTTTAGTTCAAAGTATCGATAGTCAGTTGGTCAAACGGTCGGTCGATGAGTAAATCGGTCGATGAGTAACTCAGTCGATCAGTTTTCATATTTGGCGACTGGTGGATATTATTGTACAGCAATTTTAAACAGGCTCGTACTTTTTTGAAAAAATATAAAACATGGAGAAAATTAGATTTGGCTGCAAACAAGATATTGAAATGGGAGCAAACTTGCTGGCTGAGAATAAAACACAAGAGAAGTTAACTGTTTTGGGTACAGGAGACTTTGGTCGTGCCCTAACAAAACGACTCTCAACGGCTGGTTATCACGTCGTTATGGGAAGTCGAAATCCTGAGAAATGTCGAGGGTTGTTGCATCTTTTACCGTTTAATATTGTATCCTTGAACGATGCTTTGGAACACTCTGACATCATTTTTCTTGCCATTCCTTTACATGGATATGACAGTTTATCCACATCATTGGGGAGCCAACTAAATGGTTTGTGTTTAGTTGTTTTTTTTTAACTAAGAAAGGAAAAGTTTAGATGAATTGCTGTTTTCAGGATATTTGAATAATGAGCCTAAACATACATTTATCTAGAAACCCTCAAATATTCATGTCTTGTAACAGCCTTCATTAACTGTCAATTTAAGTTAGACTGTCTAAGGCGTATTTGTAACACCTTGATTTTCAATACTGAGAATAAAATCGACTAAATTACAACATATTCTACAAATGAGGATATCAATATATAGACATACTTAAAAATATTGTTTAAGTATTAAGGTGATGTATAAATCTCTTCAACTAATACCATGCACAGAAAAAGTTATTCACTACGTAATTAAATCAGTTGCATAAAGATAAACTAAATATCTTATTGAATTGCCAATTCTTATTTTTTTGTCTTTTAAAGGAAAGATTGTTGTTGACGTTAGCAATCGAACCCAGACCTCTTTCAACGAGCTATCTAATGCTGAGTACTTATCAAGTCTACTACCTAAAGCTCACGTTGTGAAAGGCTTCAATGTGATATCTGCATGGGCACTCGAACAAGATATTTATGGAGGAAGCCGGATTGTTTACATTTGCGGAGATAATGCTGAAGCAAAAGAAAAGGTCGGATGAACGTATAAATTTATGATTTTCAATTTTTAGCAAGTTGCTTTATTTTACATGTTACGATTTTTTAATCACTATCTTTTGAGTAATTATGCGAAATAATATCTTTTATAGCCAGGCCCCCAAACTACACATTAGCTAAACAGCGAAATTATCATTCATTTTACAAACTTTGAATGTTTTCGTTTTCACAATAAAATTAATGATTTTTTTTAATCCATTAATATCTTCTATTCATTGGTCAAACGTAGCAATGTTTTGATTCCTTCTTTAGACAAACACGAATGCATACTACTATATTTGCGCTTTTATAAACTTAGGCTCTACAGTTAAAAGGCAACCCTAGAGCAACTAGTATCTCAAAAGCTTTACAAAATATGGGAAGCATATCACATATGAACTAGTTTGTTAACAAGATTTAATAAAACTGCTAAAACGAGTGTTTATTCTTTTCTTTAAGTCCTTAGAGTTGATTATTTAAGACTCTATTTAATACACTTATACTGTTGAAAAACTAGTAGGAGATACTTACTAAGTATCTGGGTGAACTTAATAAATGCATGTAAAATTGGAGCCTTTAAACTAAGTCAGTATTTTTTGGTTTGGCTGTTTAAGAAACTTTGCCTTTGTTTGTTTGTACATTAAACTTCCCTGAAGTATTTATGTGAAGCTCACTGTTTGTACTTCTCTCATATTGTAATACATGACGTGACAGGGCGTAGTCTTACTTGCCATAGCTTGATTTGACCCAAATTATTTAGACTTTCACCAGCTCACACTCAGAGTAATGAGGATTTCGTGGCTATAACTATGATTTCCATAAAATCAAAATATTTTGCATGATCTTTGAATATTTAAACGTTGTTACCTGCTACTGATTTCGGATATGGCTAAGAGGCAAAGTTTTCCTTTTTTTCAGGTTATGCAAATATCTCGAACGATGCATCTCACCCCTTTTGATCAAGGATCACTACAGCTCGCCCAAGCTATCGAAAATAAGCCACTGGAGCTATTTCCTAGTTGGCGTTCAGCATTGATGATGTTTGGAATTTTGTATCTTGTTATGTGGTTATACTATGTCCTTAAGCGAGTTATTTTAAAAATGTCGTTCACTAATTTTCCTCTCAGAGACATCAGTTTACTCAATGCATTCACTGTTATTGGACTTTTAGACATGGTTTATCTCCCAGGATGCATTGCGGCTATCTTCCAGTTGGTGTACGGTAAGACATGATAAGATCGAATGATTTGGCATCTATTGGTCAAAGAAAAATCAATTTTCAATAAAACTACAAAAAGATTTAAAATGTAAACTGACCTTAACACCATTAGTTGAAAACGAAATGTAATGGTTTTATTAATATGTAAATATCATTGTCTTGAGCACCATTTCCCTCGGTAGTAAGGACGACACTGCAGAACTTTAAGTAAATAAACACAAAACCAAACGCTTTTTCTTCCTTGAAGTTTAAATTTACAGTTCATTTTTCTTCAAAACAATAAATATCTTCTATAATTTTTCATTTTCATAGGTACCAAATATCGTCGTTTTCCAAAATGGCTTGACATTTGGATGAAATCTCGTAAACAACTTGGTTTGCTGGCATTGTTACTGGCTGCAATGCACGGTTGTATGTCAACACTTTATTGGGGTCCTAAATATTCCCCTCTTGTTTATCAAGATAAATCTATTCACGTCAACAACGTAACAATTTCCCTTTATGGAAGAATGACTGCACAAGGAGAAGCGTTCTTGACCCTTGGAGTCCTGGGACTGTCAGCGTTGTCTATTTTGGGTATCACGTCACTTCCTACTGTCCTCAATCGCATGAGTTGGAGAGAGTGGAATTTTGTTCAATCTGGTCTTGGTTATTTTTCTCTGATATTTTCTCTTCTTCATTTTATAATCTACTACTACACAGCATTTCAAACATGGGGTACAGAGGTTTTATATTACCCTACGGTCTGGGTTGTAGGAATTGGCTGTTTTGTTGTCATATTGAAGATTGTCCTTCTCATTCCATATCTCGATAATCGTGTGAAGAAAATCCGCTCGGGATGGGAGAAAGCAACTTACGTAACCTGAACATTACAAAATCATCACTTTCTTTACAATTTTTTTTATTTAAAGGTAATACAATCACATACGCATGATTTATTATAATCTTACTTTGTCAAATGAGTTTTGTTATCGAAGAAAATGATCTGACCATATTTTACAAATATTAACGATTTTACAATTGATAATGGTTTCATGTAATCAAGTATTGCTTGAAGATAAACTATAACTAACTATATTCATAACAATAAAGGGGCAAGGAAATAATTCAAGCAAAAACTGTTACAATGTCATCTGGTTTTTCATGTTAGATTTTGAAAATACTTACAATGATTTCAATTATTGAACACTTTCTATGTTGTTGGCATCATCATCTCAAAAAGTTTGAAAAACATGTTCCTTATCGATGTACCTTCTACTCCCTACTTAATATATTAATCCTAACACGGTTTTACATGAAAAACATGTGACTTATTTGAACTCGCAATACTAGTCCGCCGCTCTACCTGTTGAGCTATTGGAGTCAGTCAAATCTCTAAACTGCGTATGGACAGATTCTCGGTTTACTTCGACTTTATTCCAGCCATCATCACTTAATATATGAATCCTAACACCCATACAGATTTGAACTCCTACTTAATGATATAGAAATAACTTTAGGCATCAACCTCAAAACAGAGGTATAGGTTAATCCAGCACATCCACCCCATAAGAAACCACATTGTATACGGTCATAACCCCTAACAGCTATATTTACACTCTATAACTACAACTGTGCAACATAACTATGAAAATTTACCACAAAAGTAGTTCACATCTGCAGGACTACATCAAAAAGCAAAAACACGTCATGCCATTTGTGGGAGAATTTCTTGTCAAACGAGACAAATTAGTTCTCACTAAACCTCTTTTTAGATTCTGATTACAAATATTTTATAATCGTTGCCAAACTAAGTTCCTTCTTCTTATCTCAAAAAACAAAATTCAAAACTTGCTATATATTTGGGGTGTAAATGCCTTATAAAGGCAAGTCTTTTACATTCTTTTTGTATCCTGCATTAAGGTAATCGAGAATTAGTTATACAAGTTTAATTCAATTCCATGGTGCTGGTATTGGTCGAACACTATTCAAGTCGCTTACAGCTGACAATTTTTGTGACAAATATTTTACATGGCAAATGTGTTTGCCCGTGTGTATGTTCAACTAAAATTTTAATATAAATATTATGAGCCGCAAGTGAAGAGTTCATCAGCAGATAACAAAAGTTACATGCGAAATTTTGAATGGTTTGACTTTAAAATGTAAACATCATTGATTATAAGTTATCTGTTTTTTAACAATGCCAAACATTTGTTTGAATAAGCGTAAACAGGTGCTTGCTTGCCGATTTGGGATTGCTCTACTGATGCAATATGAGCACTCTAAGAGACACTTAAATCGCCGATGGTGACTCGTCCATGGGCAACTCAGGAATGTCGAGAATGACAAGGATTTCCAGCAATCTTGTCCGTGATTTAATAGCAGTGGAATGATGGAACCTTTAACAATTTTTTTGGTGAGTTTTAAAGTTTGTTAAAATATCACTGATACATTGGTTAATTCAATATATTTTTGTTTCTGCAGAATGAATGTGAGCTTATTTGACGAACTTTTACAAAAGGTAAAACCTCTCATAACAATACAAGACACAACAATGGGCGATTCCATTCCTGCACATGATAAGCTGTGTGTGACGCTGCGATTTCTTGCCCCTGGAGAGTCCAATACAACTTATATATGTCTTTCTTATCTTAGTATCTGCGATTGCTGAGGTCGTTCCATAGGTATGTTATGCTTTATACAAAGTTCTTAAAGACTAGGGAGACCAGAGAAGTGTGGAATGATATTAGCCACTCTTGATGTATTGCATCTTCGATTCACACTTATTCCTGTTATACAAAACGTACAAAATTACAATTCCTTTTCTTTTTATTCTTTCCATGCAGTCATTTCACACTTCACTGAATCCCAACTTACTGGGCTCATACCACCAGCTCCTAAAAAAATGGTTACTTTTGGTTTTTTGGACAGTTAATTATATTTTTATGGCCTTTCATCCAATTCTTGCACATAGTGCATTGAGGTGCTGCCCTCTCATTTCTATGATCAGTGATTTTTTCTTGGGCAGGTGATACTTCAGCTATATCAAACAATAAAGTGAGTCAGTTCCAAAAATAAGATTCAAATTAACTCAAAGCAAAAAAATGCCTTTTTGTTAAACCTGGCTTAGTTGGGGGGAAATGTACAGCTGGCATGCTTTGTCTTCTTACTTTTTTTGAGATAGCTTCACTTTTTGATTGCTTGTCCAACATGGAATTCATTGGCAATGGAGTCATTTCTAAAAAATCACCATTGGCTTTTCTTAATGTTTCCTCATCAATGAGTGCAGAGCACAACACTTGATATATATCTTCAACATACCCTGGAGGAGCAATGCGCAAATTATTCAAAATTTTATTTTATAGTAATCATAAAATAGAACATTGCATTCAATTTCTTGAAAGAGTTTAAATTGGCACAAGGGAATAAAAACTGTAATGATACATAGGTGTTTCATCACACATGTTTCATAGAATACCTGCAGAACATTCTAGGAAAAGAGTAGCTGATCATTCTGATAATACAGGCTCATCACAAGTTGTTTCTTGTATTTCCTCTTGAGATTCGCTACTTGTACTGGGAATATTTTCTGATTCAACCCCTCCTTTATAATCAGACATCCACTTTCTTTTCATCTAAAATGGCATATATTTATGAAATATACTCTCACACAGATTCCAGGTAAAATGTAAATATGCATATGTATAATTTTTAACGTACTCACCATTCTGCAATCTCTTGTTTAAGTTCATTGTCATCTTTTCGAGGATAAATGCCTGGGTAAGCAACGATTCCGAATTGAATGAGTCGAGGTGCAAAATTACTTTCTGATTCAGAAAGCGAGCCGAATTGACGAGAAAACGAATCTTTCGTGAAGTGTTCCGAGCAAACTGCGGAATTCTTTGTGGGGACCCACTTATCGCGAGTAGCTTTCAAAAAGTTGACCCAACGCTTTCTCCTACGCTTAGCTTCGCTTCTTTCGTCGTTAAAAAATGGTATGCGATGAAGTGAAATGCCTTTCTCCGAACTGGCTACGTTAGAACAACCAAAAACTACACATCGATCTGGCATTTTTGTGTTTGTTTACATGCCTAAACAGTGTAAGTTGTATTGGCAGTCAGTCTATGTTCCTTAAATGACGTCACAAGTAAGTCCCATGCCACGGATTAGAGCTCTTGACATTTTTTACAAAACGTTGAAATTCAGGCTTTATTCACGTCTTTGACGAAAAAGATAACTCAAAAACGAAAAAGTTATTCAAATTCTGTAAACGGCATTTGTATTATTTATCCAATATCTATTTGAGAATAAAAACTAAAAATAGTTGTATGTGCACTTTAATATACATGCAGACTGGCCCTTTCCACAAGAACACATTGCATACAGAAAGATAATAGTAGAAACATAAATATTTTGATTCATACATTTCGCAAGTTCACGCAGTCTAACTAATTACACGGTACAACGAGTAAGCAGTTATGATATGTTTGAATGGCAAACCTGTTCATATGAATACAGATATATTCTTAGTTGAAATCATGTTTCTTCTTTACGTTTAATCTATTTGAAAGCGCACGGAAACTTTAATTAAAGATCTTAAATTATATTGTCCAGGATAATCTACATTATAACATTTACATCTTTGCAAGTCGTTAGTCGTTAATTGATCGTGTCTATCTTTAGATCAAAGTCATTTGTACCTATATTACGTTTTTGCGATTAACCAATTTAAATATCAAAGTTTAGAATTTTTTAGACATTTTGCTTTGTATTGCAAATATCCATTATCTGGTATTCGTCTATTTTTTAACGATATAATGCCCAAGTGCAACAATATTTTAAGCTCCAGGCATAATTTCATGTTAAAAAGACCGCATCCATTTTACTTTGCCAATCTTATAGAGTATAAATTATATCATGGTTTCTTCAAATTTTCCAAATGTCAGAACAGACCACCATAAAGAAAAAAGAAAACTTATTATCTATGTTTGTTACGAGAGTGCTTTGAAACGTCAGCATTGGTTAACATTGTCGACAATGTAAATATGCTTATTACCAAAAGTTACATATTTGTACTTGCAAATGACATATAGGTTTAACATTAATTGACTGTACTTGTGCGATCAATTTCGAGAAGCTTTCAAATTAATATTGCGAAAATCATTTTCAACAAAATAGTCAAAGATAAGAGTCTATTGTGTTGTGGAGTTGAGCTGTATTTTAATTAAAGCTCTATGATAAAAGAATGATTTTAATTCATTTATCGCTCTCCAACAAAATTGCCGCTTATGGTCAAGCATGAATGGTCACGCAGGTCTCAATCAAGCACATCGACAGGCAAACAAGTCAATTTGTTTTCTTTAGCATCGACCAATCGGAGGAATTCATAAGGGTGGACGAGTTAAGTAAGTGTATACGAAATTTATGGTAGAACCCAAAAATAAATCCTGTGCAACATCAGTTCAAAACCAAAGTTAGGATGTTTTAAATGAACGATGTCTTTAGGCTGCCATTACAACGAGAGCTGTCTGCACTTATTGAAAGTTATCATGCACGTAATAGTTTGCTGGTTGGTTTAAAACCAACCTGATATTAAAGTGTTTATTATATTTTACTTCTATCTCTAAATTTGGCATTTCAACAATCTAGAAGGGCTGAACAACATATGACATGCACAATCGATTATATGTATATTTTATCACAAACATAAGACAAATAATGATATTGTAAACTCCAAATATTCTCCTCGGTAATGCAAGGTATAGCCCGCATTTTATGAAACTTACTTTTCCTCTAATTTCGCTTGTATTTGTTGTTTCTTCAGATAAACTGACAGTAAAGATGACTTTAAAACACTTTCTGCTTTTCCTCATCTGTGAGTCGCTACTGGATCTCATGGATGATGGAGGTGGAGTTGTATACATATTAAATGCTTTATCAAAATGCTTACATCTCTTTCTTCTTTACTCATTTCCAGTGATTCTACCTAAATAAAACCAAACAGGTCAAAGGAAGAGAAGTTTGATACTTTGACATGAGATGCTAGCCTAATTTAGTACAACAAACATTTACTTAGTTAAATATCAAATGAAAACTAGAGCTTCTTACTTCCACCGTTAAAGTCAAGTTACTTTACTGTTTATTTCTACGCACAAATGAATACAGCAAAATAATGTAAATGGTTGAACCAAAGATAAGCACAATTGGAAAATATAGCAAAAAATTATATAAATAGGATAAAAACTGGTCCATGTGTTTGTGCTAACAGCACTGAGCTCATCTTACAATTCTTATCCTTTTTGGGTGGAGGGAATGCGCATTTGCAAGATTTGCTCTATAGCATGTTGAATGATTTTATTCGTATTGTTATCATTTTGCTTGGTTCATTTTGATCATTGGTGCATTAAATGCAAGGCTAAATGCGCACACTACATCCGTCTGCTTTGGAATAACATCAAAATGACAATAAAGCTATGAGCAGGAAATAAAAGTAAATACTTGGGATCATCTTTAACGTACAAACTTCAAACACTACACTAAAACGTTGTTTTACAAGTCGTATTATATTAAATTTATACATATCATAAGCTTCTGTATTAATCGGTTGAGTGCGTCTCTTGTACGTTTTGAAAAGCAATTAACAACGACTTTTTTCTGTTAAGCTGTCTCTTCGAGATTTTTTCGAAGGCATTTAAAACACAGCACAAATGGATCAAGCTACGGCAAACTATCGTACCGAAACGTGTCAAAAATCTAATGATGCTGGCTACAAATGATCCTTTATTATCTTGACATGACTCCACCAAGTCTTTCCGGTCAATATAAATACTTGTGAGCTCACAATTTGATTCTGTATGTCCGTCTGTATATTTTATTGGAGGGGGGTGGGGGTGGGTGGTTAACGGTTTGAGGAGGGGTGTACCACTCAACAATATAATAATTTTTGTAATGTCTGTTCAATTTACATGTCTGGAATTTGAATGGATGTACCACAAACAACGTCATTTCAATACGGTAAAGACTAAAATCCAGAACGGATTAACCAAACGGCAAGACTGGCCAGGTGCATAGGGGCACAGTATAGAGAAATACAGTAGGTCCACTTTGTGTGCAATTGGCTGCTGTATATTTAGTCAGATTACTGGCTGCCGATAGCCATTTCATCATTTCTACTGGTCAAAAAAAGCAATTGACTGGCTACCACTATTGTAATCACATGCATGTTTAACAAGATACGAGGCACAAAAAAATTCAATGGAGTGGCTCTACTGTATATTATCTATACTAAGCCAGGGGCCTCCACAAACAAGTTCCTCCTCATTTTTTATAGGAAAACTAAACATTACTGCTTTACAGAATATGGAAAAAACATTTTCTTAACTCGTTAGATCAATTTTAGTTGATGAAGAGCAGAGTACGTATGACGACGAATCATGGCAAACTTAGCAATTTTGCTTTGATGAGCATTGAGGCAATGTTCTAAGGGAAATTATTATGGACCAACTTATCAAAGACTGCCAGAATCAAATTCCGAAAACTACTTTATCTTAATTAGCATTCAGCTTTGGAATACAAGTGGCTTACCTCCTATATTTTAACTTTGTTCTTTTATCAGCTTTTATCAGATTGTTTGCGAAAGTTTTATTTTAAATTTTGCTGTTTGAAAAATAGGCAACCAATGGACTTTAGACCAAGAGGCAGGTGCCTTTACGTATTTTTGCGTCATAGGGCATCCACACACTTAATCCAGCCTGCTAAACTACCATGCAGAATGATCATTAACGTCAATTTTATCTCGTTTGGCAAATAACACGACACTTGATTCACTGTGCCGGCCGTTATGCCAGTTTGATTTGCCTTTCAAATCCAGTTTTTTCACTGTGCTTAGGTAAAGAAAATATAGTACTAGTATGGATTTCACAAAGCGTCAAAATAACAAAGAATATATAATGCATGGTGCGAGTCTAGCCATGGCATGAACAAAAAATACAATAAAGTATTTGGTATGTGCTACTACTCCGCTTTCAAAGATTAAATATCATTTAATCACAGTCAGCACATAATAAAGTCAATAAGATCCTAACAAAATGTTTGTGAGAAAATATTGGCAACAAAATACAGTTGCATTAAATTTTTATCATCCCTGTAAGGTCATCAGTACATTACATCATTTGCATGTGGTACATTAATTATTTTAAGAAAGCTGTATACATCGCAGAGCGCTAAACCTAAACGCACAAAGTGCATCAGACTTGCCTTGAACTATTTTATCCAAGCTAATTTCCATCAAATGCTAGAACACGAAATCTGGTGCACAAAATCGTGGATCTTAGAGTGTCTGGCTGAGTGTACCTGGCAATTTTGGGTGACAAGGGGATAGGCAGAAAAGCCTTTCCTTTGCGATAGTAACTTCTAGTTATATTATAATATTTACATCTTTTAGCCTAAACTATAGTTATTCTTTAAATTGAATTATGTGGAGCAAATAGTAATTTCACATCAAACACAAAGATATAACAAATATCCTCATTACATTGTCACTTTTCAAGTATCTTCTTTTCCAACAGGTTGCTCAATGACTTTCACAAATGAATTATATGCAGTTAAAAAGATTGGCTCCTTTTACAAGCGTTCACCGCCAACTGAAGAGAGTGAAAATTGGATAAATCGTGCACAAGAAATAGGCAGTAACGGTTGGGCTGACTTTAAATTCCTTTTCTTCGGACCAGATGGTGACTTGTATGCCGTTCGTAAAGATGGGACATTTTGGAAAGGTTCTCCACCTAAATATGCACGTGAAAATTGGAGTGATCGTGCAAAGAAAATTGGCAATGGGGGTTGGACTAGGTTTAAGTTCCTCTTTTTTGGTCCTGGCAGTGATTTGTATGCAGTTCGTAAAGATGGCACGTTTTGGAAAGGTTCTCCACCTAAATATGCACTTGACAACTGGAGCGCTCGTGCAACTAAAATTGGCAATAATGGTTGGGCTAGCTTTAAATTCCTCTTTTTCGGACCTGATTGCAACCTGTACGCCGTTCAACAAAAAGGGCCCTGTTTTACAACGTACGAACCAAAGAACAGGCTTGACCCATGGTTAGGTCGTGCAACAAAGATTAGCACTGGAGGTTGGAAAAATTTGAAGTTCCTCTTTTTTGGCCCTGAGAGATATTTGTACGCAGTATCACATAATGGTTCCTTACGTCAATCCTCTCCTCCAACATACGCAAAGGATAACTGGACTTCTCGCTCAACTAAAATCGGTGCTAAAGGATGGGCGAAGTTTAACTTTTTGTTTTAACTCTCTTGATTTGATTCGGTAGTTACTAGCAGTCTATAATTATGCTATTGTAATTGTTTTCTACGTAATGAGTCTTGAAATATAATACCGTCACCAAGCCAATTTCTTCTTCTTGCATTCCATTGTTTGTTAGATATTTCTCAAACTTCGCGTGAAAAACTTAATTCCTTGATATCTTAATTGTTTTGTCTTAATTAGAATGGTTATATTTAAAGTATTATTTTGTTTCCCCACACACTTTGCAAGAAATGTACAAACTTACTTATGTATGTAATGCGCGAATTTCGTTGATAAGAATTTAGATGGAATTGTTTCTACGTGATCTAGATTTCGGAAAGAACTAAACATTTCACATCCTATGACATTTGTAAAGCCTTCTTTCTCAAGAACCGTCTTGCAAAGATAATGAGATGGTGGATTGTGTGTCGTGTGACGTTTGTCAACAATGGTCCCATTGCGATTGCGTTGGCATTACTACGGTTGCCCGTATGTGCAATTTACAAAACAAATTTGTGAATGCGAAACCGATGATTCTGATGGCAAAATTTTTTTTTCTTGTGAACAAATTAAGTTTGGTAAAATAAAAAAGAAGGTAATACAAAACAAGACCTTAATGTAAAATAAATTGATTTACAAATCAAACGAAATTTGATCCTAATGCAAAACAAATGTCTTAAATGAAAAAAATTTTCGCAGTGCAAAAATATTAACCGCAAGCCACACTCATGAAAGATATTGCTGCATTCCTTTTTATTCGGCGATATGACGTATTTTTTAATTGTTTTGGGCATTTCACATTCGAAATTCTGAGAGCTAAGACTAGGGATCCAAGAATAGTGCAAAATTTCCAACGGCAAATATTGTTCAACATGCATTGTAATCATGCAAAATTGTACTTAAGAAAAGATTTCAATGTGGCTTTGTGTAAGCATCAAAAATATATAATTATTTATTTATGGCACTAAGTAGAGTTAGCATGCAGTTGCTTGAATAAATATAGATTTCCTGGGTTATTTATGGGAATGATCAGTTGAGGAATTCAAGCTTCGTAAGAAATAAAGCCTGACTAGTGTCTTACTTTATCATTTTTGTATAAAGGCAAAAGATCTGTTGACTGTAGTCAAAGAAAGAGCAATAAATACTATTCGATCCCTTGATAAAACAAATTCAACGAACATCAACTGCATGTATCACGTTCTATTCCCTTGTTTTTTATTTAACGGCAACTTTCATGAAGTTTTATTGTTATGAAAGCTATGTGAAAGTGACATTATTACATTTTATATAGGCCTTCATGTCTGTACGTTTTTTATGTGTTACCTTTTGCAATGTAACTTTCTAATACCTCTCTCAAGAGTTCTTCTTATATATTAAACAAAGCAATGTTCCGAGTAACTTCTTCTGATACTTCGTCTTTTATAATGTATCTTTCTCATACTTCTCTTTCCGAAATGGTGTGCATTGTCTGTAATTTTAAATGGTACTAAGCAATAGATTAGTTTGATAAACTAACATTCAATTAAAACAGATCTATTAGAATTCAATTAATTATGTAAGCTTGACTCATCAAATGAATTAATTAAATCTGGAATTCGAATGTGCAGCATTCCTTTTAAAAATTATTTCACGTTGTTTTTAGAATCGTAAGTGAGGGCTGCTTTTTCATGAACACTTTGAAGAAATAAAATAGCTCCGTTAAATAATTTAAGTGGAGTTGGAAAATTTGTAACTCCAGTAATGCAAATTTGACATGCTGTTAGTTTACAATTTATTTCAGGTCAATTTGGGACCAAATCTAGTTGTCAAGAAGCATGTCCGTAAAAGAATCGTGGCAAAGAAAGTTGGATCATATGTTGCTAATTTAATGCGGGCAGCCTTATCCCGTGATCACATGGCTACCCACGGCTTAAGGGCAAAAAATGGGAAAATGGTCAGGTCAAGCCTTTTGCTTGATCTCACATACACTACTTCTTCAATTTGTAAGCACATACGTATATGTTTCTTTGAGTCTGAGTACCATTGAAATTAAACGTTAAACATTTCAATGAATTTTTTCAGTATAAATATTTAGACTCTGCATTTTCACGCATTTCAGACCTGCCGTAAACATCCACTTTTTTTACATGTTCTGCTATGCAGACATAGTATATTGTTCAAACATCTCCTGTACTATGTCTTGTATCCCTTACGAAAATTTCACATTAGATATCATTTATGAAATACTATGTGAAACCTATGTAAAAATATGAAACACTTCATATATGAAGTGTGTCTGTTTCATATATGAAATTCCATCTTCATATATGAAATTTTCACATTTGATTTCATATTTTTTAATGATATATGAAACGTATGTGGAAATTGAAACACTTCACATGGGAAATGTCTATATCATATATGAAATTCCAATTTCATATATGAAATCAAATGTAAAATTTTCGCAAGGGATGGGACAATAGGTGGTCATAATGAAAATTTCATGCATCTTTCTTATATTTTGAACATATTGTTGTCAACTATTGTGTGGTTTTGATACTTTGTGTTTGTATTGAAGAACTAATCAATTTATTTTGTCTTTGCTGACTTCCCATGATCCATTAGAAAATAACCTTTAGAATTACGGTGGACATAATGTACCCTTATTCCTCTATCTTTTATCTAGAGCATGAAATGAGTGTGATGTATTCAAATATGCCACGCCAGGTTATAGAAGAAGATGTCGTAAAAGCAATAAAGTTCAAATTGAATAACGAGGAACAAGCAAGAAAAAAACCAACACGAATCAAGTAAAGAGTAGCATTATAGCTGTCTATACTATATTTTTCTATTAATTCTATCCTACAACTTAATGATATTTTTCTATACAAGAAAAAAATGGCTAACGTTTTTATCTGGTTAAAGTACAATGTATAATTAAAATATTGTGGGTTCATGGTTTTACTGAATTCTGTAGAAAATAATGTGTACTACTTGAACCTGTACAGGGAATTATGTACAGGGAATTATGTACAGGGAATTATGTACAGGGAATTATGTACAGGGAATTATGTACAGGAATTATGTACAGGGAATTATGTACAGGGAATTATGTACAGGGAATTATGTACAGGAATTATGTACAGGGAATTAAAGCATATATGAACCTTAACAGTTATGGCGTCAAGGTAATTAAAGAGGGCTTCACTTAACAAGGCTTCACAAGTTTAATTGTATGGTGCCAGTAATGATTGAACACTATTTAACAAAGCTTCTTCGTTGCATAATTTAATAAAGACAATCTTCATTACATCAAATAACGCCCAATCTGTATTATAAATAAGGTGTATGTATACATCTTATAAATAGGCCTGTTTCAAACGTTGCATTTTTACATGAGCCGAATGCATTTAAAACAATAGAGAATGAGCAATTTTATCTCATTTTCTTTTGTTTAATGCATTCGGCGCATGTAAATGCGACGTTTGAAACGGGGATAAGAAAATTTCTGGAATATATTCTCATTGAGTTACAACTTACAAGATTCATTCTATGCGTCATTGACGGGTTTGTACATGATCACGGCTAACGGCGATTCAGTGATGCATGAAATGATTTCAAGGCATTAAAAGGAGGTAGAATTTCAAGCTTAAAAAATTCAACTGTTGTTAAGTGCCACAAGTCATTCCTGTTGCAATTCTCAAACTAAGCCGAATCGGTTGGTTTCATTTTAAATGTTTTACGTATTTATAAAGTCAGAATATTTGTGAAATGATCGAGAAGATCAGTGGAATTGAAAACCATATAACGCTTCGCTTGTAATCCCTGCTACACGGGCTCATATAGTGATGAGTCAGCATTTACACTGTAGCAGAGAGCTTAAATATAGGCTTAAGTTATTTTTTCATTTTACATTTATGAATAAATGACAACTCTATACAACAATGAAGCAGAAAAAGTTTTGCTTATATAGGAAAAACACTTAAGAAAAATATTTATAGTGAGCTTCCTTGCATTTCCTTTGACGCATTTTATTGAGGCACAAAGGACATCCGACCCGTTGTTTGTCATTTATCTTGCTGACGCATGCTATTGACCATCATTTTAAAGGTAATATTCAACAGGAGCATCCCATTAAATGTCTTGTGTTGATCTTGACTGAAATTATTCTTAAAAAGCTAGAATCGTCAAGTCTGTTCAAGATTACCTATATTCTCATAATTTACATCTTTTCAAGTCGTATGTAAACCATCTGTGTCCTTAAGACCGGAGGATTATGTCAAGTACCAATATTAAGTAAAAATACTTAGTAGTTTTAACAGTATTAGTTTTAACAGTATTAAATACATATATTTACCACTTTTAACCTAAATAAGAATTATATTTTTCAAGTTAATAACTGTGGAGCATAAGGAGTTGCATGTCAAACCTAATATTATAAGGAAAATCTTTTTAATACATTTTACAAGTTGAGCAAATGTATTGTTCTCAAGCATCGTATAACCAAGGTTACTCAATGACACGTACAAGATAATTATATGTAATTATTATACAAGCAGCCTGGCGGGCAGCCATAAATATTATAGTTCATACATTTCGCACGTTCATACACTCTAATCAAGGAGTGTATAAGTCAAGTTTACAGTTATGATAAGCTTGAATGGTCAAGTCTGTTCACATGAGTCTGGATTTTTATTCATGTATGAGATGTTTCCTTTTTACTTTGAATCATCTCAAAGTGCACAAAAGACAGATTTAAATTATTTTCCAGGATTACCTAAATTTTTAACATTTACATCTTTGTAAGTCGTTAGTCGTCAATTGACCTTGTACTTCTTTAGAGCAAGGTCGTTGGTACCTATATCACGTTTTAGAAATTTAAATCTTCAAAATTTAAGTAACACATTTAAGAAGGTTTTAGATATATTTGCTTTCTATTTTATACATTCACTATCTGGTATTCGTCAAGTTTTAACAGTATAATGCCCAAACGCAACAATATTTTAACTTTAAGACATTATTGCTTGCCAAGAACACCGCACCATTTCACTTTGCCAATTTAATAGAGTATAAATTATTGGTTTGCTTGTTCAAAACTTCCAAAGCGGACAATAATGAACAAAAGA